GAAGCAGTCGGTGTGGTTTATGCCTAGTTTGCACATCTAATATTGCGAACTCTTTAAAGAGAATTAAATAATAAAAGTTTCCCCACAAAAAAACACAACATATTTAAAACTCTTCAGAGTTAAATTGCCATTTGCACAATGCAGTCCTACATTTTGTAGCATTCTTAAACAGAAGTAACACAAGCAGAAGCAGTTTTACAATAGCAACATTTTGCCCATACCCTTAACCATTCCCTAATCATATAATCAAACTCTGATCAGGAAAATCATATTTATAATTTGCATCTAGTGTTGCATCTAGTGACCAAAGATCTAAATTTGCATATAAGTAAATGATTTTTTAAAAAATAAACGGTCACTCAAAATTGTTCCAGGAATAAATCTGGGCTGCAAAGTCCAGGAGGCAAAGAGGTGATTTGGCCATAAACTACAATTAGCCATAAACTGCAATTAACCATGACCAGCTTATCTTTGCTCTTAATTGGCTGCAAGAAGGAGCTGGCTCCTGGCCATAATACAACCATGACCCAAACATAGTACCCAGAAGAAGCCCTCTAGAGGAGACAACCAAGCAAAGTTAAAGGAAAAAGAATATGGAGCTCTTCAAATACAGCACAATTATGATTTTCAGTTGTTTGGGAGTTGAGATTTGCTTTGAGGGCAGGGTTCTCTTGTGGGACTATGATACAAAAATGTGCGGTAGTCTTGGGAAATTTGTAATATTTGGTAGATATGCCAATGCTATCATCTTCCACATCCACCAACCTCTTCCCTTTTCCTTCCTGGCAAGGACAGAAAATTTTAATTCCTGCCCCCACCTCCTTGGAGCAGAGTCAGTGGTAAAATCCAATTTTTTTTACTATCGGTTCTGTGGGTGTGGTGTTGCTTGGTGGGCGTGGCTTGGTGGGCATGGCAGGGGAAGTATACTGCAAAATCTTCATTCCCGCCCCACTCCTGGGGGAAGGATATTGCAAAATCTCCATTCCCACCCCACTCTGGGGCCAGCCAGAGGTGGTATTTGCTGGTTCTCTGAACTACTCAAAATTCCCTCTACCGGTTCTCCAGAACTTGTCAGAACCTGCTGGATTTCACCCTTGGCACTGGTTCTTAATTCAGCTCTTCAGTCAAATCTGTGAAGTTACCTGCAGGGGCAAGAAGATGCTGATCTGGAAATCTTGCTACATCTAAAGCAGTGGTGCATTCAGCAGAGCTATTGGGAATGTTAGATCTAAGTGTACAATTCTAAAAGAAGTCCTCCTCCAGTGTTTCTTCAAACACAACAGAAACATTGATTATTCAGCAACAGGGTTGATTACAGATGTATTTATTTACCAGTACTGCCTTAGTTAAGGAGCTTATGTTGGTGGTTATATATTAATAAAGCAGCAGGCACTTAAACTGAATATATTCCTAGTATTGTGGGCACCCCCTTACCTGGCAGAAAAGACAAGTTAATGTGCATTCAATGGCAATTTGCAGTGGTTTTGCTGCATTTACTCTAATAGTAAGCCATTCCTTCTAGTGTCCATATTTAAGGCTAACAGCTAGGTTACAACAATTCTGACAACCATTAGATAATGCCACAAAGTTATTTTTTATATGTCTTTCCTCTCATCGAGTGGCTCTCTGGATTCTAATAGCCCAGGTTTTGATAGTCCCATCTAAAAGAATCAAAGGGATATCTGACTAATATAAACAGATGTTGAAATTGCGTGAGATTCTTGTATGGTTTGAATAAAATTATGTGAAATGTTTATGTAGTTTTAAGGATCAGGTGCTAATTAGTAATGCCATGTAGGATGTACAAACTTGGCCACCTCCAGAAAAAAAAAAAAAAGATCCAAGGAAGACTGCTCAGGAGGTCCTTGACTTGAAATCAAATCAGAGTACATAAATGGGCAGAAGCATTTTAAAAAAATGATTATCTTTTATGCTCCATCACTAGATGGCAGCAAGAGTACCACTTTCTGAAATAAAAATCATTCTGAGATACTAAAAGTGGATTTGCCTGGTTTTCTTAGTGTATGATGCAGTGGAGAAATCCAAATTTCTCCGGTTCTCCACAAGAACTACTGCAAAAGGTTCTGTGGGTGTGGCTTGGTGGACGTGGCTTGATGGGCGTGGCAGGGAAAGGATACTGCAAAATCTCCATTCCCACTCCACCCCAGGGGAAGGATACAGCAAAATCTCCATTCCCTCCCCACTCCAGGGGAAGGATACTGCAAAATCCCCATTCCCATCCCACTCTGGGGCCAGCCAGAGCTGGTATTTGCCAGTTCTCTGAACTACTCAAAATTTCCACTACCGGTTAGCCAGAACCTGTCAGAACCTGATGGATTTCACCCCTGATATGATGTGATTATGACTGAAGATGGTGAATGTAGCAAACAGATGCATTTTGTCTACTCTTCCAAAAGTTGTTTGGTTTGTCGTGTATTGAACAAATTTTATTGATTTGGTACATTGACAGTTGATTGTAGAGAAAAATTACTAATGAACAATTAACGGCTTGTATTCCCAAATCATGAAAACCAAAATATTCTTGCTACCTTCCTCCCCATCTGTTCAAATGTAATGTTTTAGTGCTATTGTGAGTATTTATTGCTGCAATGTTTTATGGCTTTTAATGTTTGTAGCAGTGGTGGGTTGCTCATGGTTCGGTCCGGTTTTTGTGAACTGGTAATAATGGCGGTGGGAGGCTCTGCCCACCTGCCCAGACGTCATCATGGATGTTCTGAGCATGCGCAGAAGCTTCTGTGCATATGCAGAAGCGTGCACGCTCCCATTGCAAACTGGTAGTAAAGGTAAGTGGAACCCACCCCTGGTTTGTAAGCTGCCAGAGATGCCTCGAGATGAGATGGATAGCAAATAAATCTAATGAATAAATAAATGAAAACTTTACAGATAAAAGTCTGTCTATAGATCCATCTACAACTATTTACTTTCCCTATTTCTGGAGTCAACCATTCCGTTTTTCATGAACTCCACAGTCCTTGACTTTTCTCTACATAATGATGGCCTGCTGAAGCTGGCCTTGCAAGTAATACACTAGAGTTGAGGATTATTTTTCAACTCTGTGACTCTTGAATAAAACTGAGAGGCATCAGCTCCTGGAGTTCAAATGTACCTGGACTTGGTGGTTCTGTTTTTCTTTTATCAATAGATGTTCAACTTCTATTGCCATTTGTCTGGAGAAAGTAAATTTTGCAAGAGGGGAACTCAATATCACTAGCTATTATATTCTTCCTTACTCTCTTTCATGGTATAGGACAGTGATGGCTAACCTTTTTGCCATCGCGTGCCAAAAGCAGGGGGAGTGCGGGGGTCGACGGCGCACGTGCCCACACTCATAATTCACTGTGCCCCACTCCCTGTGCATGCACGTGCGACCCCCCCTGCGCTCCTCCCGCTTTTGGCACGCGATGGCACGGCGGGCCTGGTAGGCCTCTTTTTTGCCCTCCCCACACTCCAGAGGCTTTCTAGGAACCTGGGGAGGGCAAAAATGGCCTTCTCCCCCCCCCACCCACCCCCCAGAGGCCAGAAATGGCCCGTTTCCGATTTCTGGTGGGCCCAAAAGACCCGAAAATCAGCTGGCTGGCATACACAAGCACGCTGGAGCTGAGCTAGGGCAACACTCGCATGCCCACAGATATGGCTCCGCGTGCCACCTGTGGCACATGTGCCATAGGTTCTTTTTTTTAAAAAAAATTTTATTGTATTTTTATTGTTAAAGAATAACAGAAAAAAAAATACAAAAATCAATAGTAAAGAAAGAAAAATTTCCCCCCCACAACGTGCTATACAAATGGAAAGGAAGTTTTAGGAAATGAAAGTCTTCAATTCTTCCAGAAATCTCTTTGATAAGGTACTGGCACTGATTCATCCAATCTCCCAAGTGCAAAGTCCACAAATGGTTGCCAAGTGTTCCAAAAAACATTCTCTTTGTATATACCACTTCTAATTTTAATATCACAAGTCAATTTATCATTTAATGCAATTTTCCATGTTTCATTATACCATTCTTCTAATTTTAAGTCAACATTTAATTTCCAATATCTAGCAATTATAATTCTCCCCATTATAACCAAAATCCTCACCAATTCTCTTTCTCCAGTTGTTAATGTTGTTTCATTCAATATTAATAATAATATTATTAATTATTATCAATAATTTAATTAATTATTATTAATTAAAGACCCAAAAATCAGCTGGCTGGCATACACATGCACGCTGGAGCTGAGCTAGGGCAACACTCGCGTGCCCACAGATATGGCTCCGCGTGCCACCTGTGGCACACGGGCCATAGGTTCGCCATCACAGGTATAGAAGACCTCTTATGATATCTAGCGTGCTTATCCTAATTTGTTGCTGCTTCAGGTTGAACATGGACTACGGCAGGTGTTGTAGATATTTGTGGTAAATTGCTCTTGTTTTGTATGGCTTTGTTCAGTCACCAGAAGTACACGCAACTCATCAGCCTAGTTGACTTTTAAAGTGATAAGCAAATTCTGAGTTGGTACAATATTTCCTGTTTGTGTAAGAATGAAGCTTATCATTAACCAGCTTAAAGAGACAACATCCAACAACATCCACCCACAGAATACAGTAGACAGAAATTCTGATGCCCTATATTGAAAACCAAATTCCCTTTAGGAATAAGAGGGCCTATACTAACGCACTTGTAGATTCCTGTCAAACATTCATTGTTGCATTTTCAGGTGTTGTGCAAGACACTGGTTCCAACAGCAGCACTGAAATAAAAATTCAGAGAAGCACATTACTTCCCAGATGTTTCCCTATGATAACTAGCAAAAACCAAGTATTATTGTCCCAATTTATGTTGAATTAGTCCAGTTTCTTGAAGCTTTCAGAGACATTTCCCAGTTAACAAGACTTGTACCTGGTTTTGTTTTTAATAAGTTGGTCATAATGTAGAAAGAAAGCCCAAATATATAGACATGTTTTACATATGATTCTTAGACATTGAGAACGACAGCACAATTTATTTATTTATTTATTTGTATGCTGCCTCTTTTATTCTTCTACAAATAACTCAAGGTGGTGAACATATCCACCCCTTCCTCTTCTTATTTTCCACACAACAATAATCCTGTGAGGTGGATTAACTTGAGAGACACTGACTGGCCCAAAGTCACCCTGCTGACTTTCATGGCTAAAATGGAACTTGAACTCACAATCTCCCACTTTCTAGCCTGGTACCTTAACCAAGAGACCAAACTGGCTCTCACAATAATTCTCACTAGCAGTCTTCTTTCTTCCTCTAAGAGTGGCAGAATCCTAAAAGATGTTGCTTGGCATATGGAACTAATTGAAGGACATACTTTATACTATCCTATTAGTTAGTTGTCGGAGCAGTAATTGCCGCAGGGACTCATTGGTCTATTCTCAGCCTTTTGAAATTGGCAGAAGTGAAGATGATCACAGGACGGGAGACTCAAAGCAGTGGTGGGGTGGAAGAGCTCTCTTTAAAATAAAAAGGGTGTCATTTAGGGCCAAAGTACTGGATCCAGATTAGTGGTGGGTTGCTCTTGGTTCTGTCCGGTTCTTGAGAACCAGTAGTAAAAGTGGTGGGAGGCTCCGCCTACCTGCCCTGACATCATATTTGGCGAACTGTGAATGCGCAGAAGCGCGAGTGTGTGCACTCCCGTTGCGAACCGGTAATAAAGGTAAGTAGAACTCACCCCTGATCCAGATATGGTGCAAAATGAAAGCCAAGAGATATTTATGGGCTATGCACCATTTAAAGGCCGCAAGGATTTTATTTTAGAATGCACAGTTATTTATTCATAGCTATTCCTGGTTTTTGTAATCCTTTTCCGTCTTAAACTTGAATATATCCAGACACAGTCCCTTACATCTCTGTGTGAACGTTACTTCCAATCTCCCCAACTAATGAAATCTGAATGCTGTCCCTGCAATTTCATGTGATTTGGAATGAAAAAAAGAATATACTTTGTCCAAGGCAAGAGATGAAAACCCTGGCCCCTTAAATATTGCTTGGAGATCTTGTTCTCTGGCCGAACTCTAGTATACAAGGCAAAATCTTTAGCATGCAATTTTCTGGCTAGTGCCTGCATCACTGTTTTCATATGACCCTTTCCCCGGTACTCAGGAAGAGCATAGCCATGAGTCAGACACCCAAGGGCATCACTTAGGCTCCAGACAACCAGCTGCCCTTTCTGATCTAGGAGGCATGCATTTGGGAAGTCCTCAATCAGGTTCCTGAGATAGCGCAGGCTGTGATCATTGCCTCCAAATTCATAAGTGTCATTGAGTAGGGCTGCATGGGATGGGTTGAGCGTCCCCAAGTGGAGGGGGTCACTTCTGAGCCTGAAAGGAAAGAGCAGATGATAGTGAAGGTGGAACAAAAAGAGAGCATCCCACCATGTTGGAAAAAAGCCTGGTAAGATATATCAAGGGAAACCATGATCTCAGAGTTACCCAGTAATGGGAAAACACAAATCCCACTTATTCTGAAATATCTCCTTACAGTCTTTTGAAACTGCAGTAATCAGCTTTAGGGTCTTTTTTGCGTTTTGCTTTATTTTAAAATCTCCTCTAATATTCCCAAAGCCATTTTCTTTTGGAAAAGCCAATGAAGCAGTTACGTTCAGGGAATTCTTCCTACTCTCTATTAACTGTTGTTCATCCCACATCTTCCAAGTTGGCAGTAAAACTGGGACCTTATTTGTAAACCTGTCTCATTTTTACCAATAGGAGAAACAACTTATTCCTAGTTTTCTACAGAGGATAGGATTAGTTATAGAACAGGGGTCTCCAACCTTGGCAACTTTAAGACTTGTGGACTTCAACTCCCAGACTTGTGGACTTCGCTGGCTGAAGAATTCTGGGAGTTGAAGTCCACAAGTCTTAAAGTTGCCAAGGTTGGAGACCCCTGTTATAGAAGAACCAGAGGCCCTTGATTTCATTACTGAATTCCAGATAATTGCATGGGATCAAATTAATAGACCCCCAAAACATTTGCCTTAGAAAGAGAGTACGATCACTCACTGGTTCTGACATAACTTGGCTGCATCTGGGTTCAGCAATGCCTGGTAAAAATGGGGCTCCATGTGGACACTTCTAGTCTCTGCCATAACTTTCACAGTCTGATAAAGCCCATCTTGGAGACCTACATAGAATGGACATGACACAAGAAACAAGCCTGAGGTTCAGAGTGAAATCTTATCTTCTGTCTACTCCTAATACTCTGCAACTGGATGGCCCAGAGACATTCACCAGCCACAGGGAAATGGTGGTAATGGCTAGAATGGAGTTTTGCATAAGCTTATAGATTTCTCCTCCTTGGCTAGAGATGTATATAATAGAATGGCCACTGCTCTAGTACACCAGGCCAAATGTCATCCATCATAACAAACTCTGGATTGAATTATCTGACAAGAACATAAAATAACAGAGCACAAGGATTTTTCATGATACCAACTTCTTCTGAGTTTAAAGACCAAATGGCAGTCTAATTATATGTGGAAGTTAAAAGGAATATGACATATCCAGGGTTACTAATTCTATGCATCATTTGATTTTCTCCTATGTTGTGCAGTTAGAAAAATAAGATATTGGCCTAAAGAACACCAAGAATAGGGTTTGTATTTCTCATAAGGCAATGTGACTGATGCTTTGATTGGTAATTTCACTTAAATGGTAAAATAGAATGCCTTTTTGCATTGATTTTTGCAAAAATTAAGAAATTAGACATATTTCTAAATGATTTAATCTGTTCAAGTTCTCAACTATTAGCTGAGAAGATTATCTAAAAATTCTGCTTGCACTGACACCATTAAACTCGTTGGACCCCAAAATTCCAGTAGGCAGCTTCAAGGTTCGGTAGCATATAAGCCAAAATGTAAAGAAGTCTGAACGTTTTCCTTGTGTGATTCTCCCCATTTACACATTTATTGCAAAGTCAATCTCAATTTAGGATTTTTTGAAATAATAACAGAGGATATTTCCTAAGCCATATATTTAATTGTTCATACTGTGTGTTTATCTATGTGTGCGTGTATATGAATGAGGAGAGAGGGGGTGGAGGGGAGAGATTTGTAGATATTTATTTATTTAATACAGTTTTAAGATTGCCCAATTTCTTCACAAATCTGTGTGGCTTACAAATAAATAAAGAGAAATACCTGACCAGAAAAACAAACACTCTGTGTTAAAATCAAAGTCAACAAAACTAAGCTAACCTATACAGGGCTCCACAACTTAAGAGTTGGGGGAACAACCAGGTTTTTGGCACTTTCCAAAATCTCCTAAGGGTGGAAAAGAAATTGCCAGAGTCCGGGCCTTGCCTTGCAGCTGGAAGGCTTTGTCCCAGTCTACCGCATCTTTGTTTTCCAAGAGGGTTCTGCAGGCATCTTCCTCCCGATAGAAAGCAGCATGCAGGTTGGCATAATAATCCCTCTTGTCCTTCAGCACCTGCAGGAAGTGGCAGCGGGAATAGAACAGATGGCAGAGACCATATGGAGGAGCTGATGAGGCCAGGCTCTCTTGGAAGAGGGATATAGAAAAAGGAGGCAAGGAGAACTGCTATAGCACCCCCGAGGGCCTCCTGAATGGCTTTTGGGCCCCAGATACAGATGTGTCTTGTGTTTTTCCCTCTCCTTTTTCGCCAGGGGGCTGTGGGAAAAACCCATCAACTTTCTGCTGAAATTTCCTACCTCCTTCCGTGGTCGGGTAAGAACAGCTTTAAATTCTGGCCAAGAGTCCACCACGACTTCGTGTTGAGCTGGGTTTCCACGGTTGATGTGCATCACCGCCCCACAGACCTTAAATTAAAAAGAGGTTCAGGAAGACCCAGTGAAGGATTAATTCTGCTTTTACCTCTCTAATTAATCAAAAGGTTGGGGGGTGTATCTCGGTGCAGAAGTGAGTCATCTATGATTGGCTGATTCAGAACCACCCAAGGTCTTTTGAGGGCGAAATGCTACAATGGGTGCAATGTTGGAATTTGCTCTGTCGGTGAAAGCCATCATGGATTGGCTGATTCATTCTGTTGAGAGCCAAATTCTATTGATGGGTGACTTGGAAGAATTCACTGTCTCACTGAAAGGCCAGATGGTTTTTGGATTTTCTGTAGAAGAAGAAATCAGCAAAGATAGGTTCTCTTGTTTGCGCTACTTCAGGTATACCTATATTTTGGACATTATTGGCTTTGCATTTCCAGATGTGATGAAAGGAAAAGTGGATTTGAATGTGAAATGATTCCAAGGCTGCCATCAAACATTATTATACATTTAGAAATTTAACAGGGACAGTTTTCTCCAAATTCTCAGTAAATGGAGAAACATCAGCCCTTATATTTACACCGAGAGGAGCACTAAACAGGTGATTACCAGCAGTGTTTCAGGGAAGCCCTTTCGCAACACACTCTCCAGCAGCTGCAGCTTGGAAGAGCAGGTCAGGATCAGCATGGCTGGCCAGGTCGAGGGTGCCCCCCGCAGGTCCCACGAAGGCGTCTTTTGGCGACCAAACCTGAAGGGGGCAAAAGAGGTAGAATTTCATCAATTCTTTATGAATCACCTTCCCTGCCTGCTGGAGACCAAGTGGAGATGAAATGGTCTCTGTCAGTGATGCAGATTCTCAGAAAAAGTCTTTCTGATCAACTATGGATTGAATGGATCCTAAGTCACAGAATTATATAACGTATGAATTGGAGAGGATGCTGTCCTAGCTTTGATCAAAAAAAGATCATACTGTATGTGAAAGCCTTGCAATATTTATAGCTTAGTTCCTTTAATCATTCCTCATAGGTAATGTTTTCTAGACTTCTCACCAGCCTAAGAGTTGTCCTCTGAACTGTCTCCCATTTCTCTCTCCTCCTTTCAAAAAACATTGATCAGAATCTCAAGTGCAGCCTTGTGACTGCAGAATATATGGGATGATTTCCTTCTCTGGGTTGGGCACCTTGGTTCCTTTTTTAGGCAGCTTAATCTTCTATTGGCTTTTCTGGGTGTTGCATCCCAGTGTTTGCTCGTGTCCAGCCAGTTGTCTGTTTGGTACCCTAGATCCTTCTCACGAGCTCTGCTGTCATGCCAGGCTTCGTCAATCCTCGGCTTATGTATTTCATTTTTCCCATTAGAGATACCGTAGGACAATGATGGCGAACCTTTTAGAGACCGAGTGCCCAAACCTCAACCCAAAACCCACTTATTTATCGCAAAGTGCCAACACGGCAATTTAACCTGAATACTGAGGTTTTACTACCTAAAACAATGATAAACAAGGCAGAGTTCAGCTTCAGCTCATTGTTCTAAGAAAAATGTGATAAATGGACTTTTATGCCATTTTGGTTTTTTTTCTGCTTTTGAAATAATTTATTGTTTAGCAACAATAAAAAAGAAAAAAATTTGTAATATCATTTCTTTCCCTCTCTCTCTTTTCCCCCTTTCCCTTTCCCTCCCTCTCTTTATCTGTTTCTTTCTCTTTCCCTCCCTCTCTCTCTTTTCCTCCCTCTTTATGTTTCTCTCCCTCTCTCTCTTTCCCTCCCTCTCCCTCCCTCCCTCTCTCTCTTTCCCTCTCTTTCCCTGGAGAAACCCAATGGAGCTGGGCTGGGGCGACGGCATGCGTGTCCACAGAGAGGGCTCTGCGTGCCACCTCTGGCACACATGGCATAGGTTCGCCACCAGGGCTGTAGGACGTTACATTTGTCACTGATGAATAACAATCCCCTTAGATTTGACAGGGTTTCAGTTTTTTACTATGTAATATTGAATCATGATGTTTGTCCTATGATTAACTATTGAACCACCTCCTTGTTCATGTCCTTAAAAAAAATCTGACCAACATCTCCCCCTTGCACCCTCTCGATTGTTGATCAATTTGTTAACTAGGGCTGGCTCTGTGAATCCACTTGAAATTTCCTTCAAAGTTAATGCAGATCTTGGGCTGTAATTGCTGTAGCGGTTGCAGATCAAAAATAAAGGAGTTACTCTGGCACTCCTTGTTTTTGACCAATCTATGGTGGTCTGTAAATTTCCTGACTCCTCTGTCTTTTGCTCCTTCAACACTAATTTTGCTGTTTAGCATCTTCCAAGTTTTCTTGTTTGCAGTTATGGGTTTTCTTTGGCCAGCCCCTTTCAACCCTGGAATAATTCACCTGCACTTAGAGATTTAGTTTCAGGTAGCATTTGTGGATCATATTATAGTTTTATCAGCCCTGAACTATATTACCCATGTTTCTTCAATCAGGTTAGGAAGAGCATTATTCTAGCTGAGAAGGCAGGTCAATACTTCTCCTTTCTCCCTCTCCCCTTCCCACCACTATTCTTCCATTTTCTATAGGCAACACCCACAAACTTGCCTTGACTCTGTCTTTTTAATATCAGTGCACCAAATAACACTCTTTCATTGCAGGTGGCATTTCTTCATCAGACTCATCTTATTCTGATTGTAGTTTTCTGATTCTACTCATAGAGATGCAATCTACCACGTTCTATTCACTGTTCTGTTTCTTTTTTTCTGGGTATCTCCTTTTCACTTCTCACTCTATGGGCACACAGTTCAGCCATAGTGATATTGAATGCTTCCCATTTTTAAGGTTTGTGGCTTTCCTTCCAGATTTTGTTTTTCATACCCAAGACAATCTCTTTGGAGCTTGTTTATTCTTTAGAATTTCAATTCATGGTATGCTGTCCATTTTTAAATGGACCATTAACATTTATTTTCCTAAGCTCTAACATTGGTTCCTGGTCACTTATAAGGCAATTTGATTACATTATCTATATGTTTTCATGTATTTTGTACCAGTACTAAAGAATTGGTGCAACAGTAGCTAAGAAGGTTTTGTCTTATCAATATATGAATTTTCTGAAGGAAAGTCTGCAATGAAACTTCAATGAAACCTGTAATGCGTACTTGCAAAAGGACACATCTGGCTGAGAGGAGGAAGAAGAGGGGGGCAGAGGAGAAGGCAGACTTGAATTATGAAGGGATTCGGAGGGCACATGACACCATCCTTGCTTCGTTATTCAGTCAATCAACCTTTTATTCCTGAAAAATGAACCATTAACAGGACGGTACCTTTGTCCTCTGTGCTGGAGGCCCAGAAAAAAATAGGCATAATTGAGCTAGCAAATAGTTTTGCCTTGATTCAATCTGGTTATAAACCAAAGAAAAATAGAGCTCAAACACTGTAGCTTATTTTTCGATGATTGACATTCACCACCCATCTTTTCAACTTAGCTTCTACAGGTAGTCCTCAACTTACGACCACAATTGAGCCCAAAATTTATGTTGCTAAGTAAGACGTTTGTTAAGTGAGTTTTGTCCTATTTTACCACCTTTTTTGCCACAGTTGTTAAGCAAATCACTGCAGTTACTAAGTTAGTAACATGGTTGTTAAGTGAATCTGGCTTCCCCATTGGCTTTGCTTGGGAGAAGGTTGCAAAAGGTGATCACATAATCCTGGCACACTGCAACTGTCATAAATATGAGTCAGTTGCCAAGCATCTTAATTTTAATCCATGACCGTGGGATGCTGCAACAGTTGTAAGTGTGAAAAACAGTCATAAGTCACTTTTTTCTGTGCCGTTGTAACTTTGAACGGTCACTAAATGAACTGTGGTAAGTCAAGGACTAATTGTATTCGGTTTTTTTACTATGTTTTTCACAAGTGAGAGTGGCTTGGACTAATTAGTAATTCAGAAAGACGGAAAGGTATTTTGAATAGCAATGTTTAATCATATCTGCTAATGAATTTGGCCCCAATCACTTCTTAGAATATGAGGCATCCAAGATCCATTCCTTGATTCTCAGATACACTTTTTATACAGAATATATTATGTTTAGATTATAGGTGATTTGACCATTCCTTTCACCATATTTTGGGGATGAGGAAAACCTCTTGGACCAGGTTTCAAGGTAAAAAAAAAACACCTTTATTTAGAACAAATGTGATTGAGTGGATCATTCCTTGTGATGTCAATTTTTCAACTAGAGTAGGGTGACTTAAGCATAGTCCCTCAATGCATGTACATTGCCTGGTATAGCAGGGGATTTCGGTCTAGGGTTACAAAATTTAGTATTTTCTCCATTCATAGTGTAACAAAGAAATGTTGTATTTGTTGAATTTGTAAACTGCAGAGGAAGCAATTCAAAAGCAACAACTCTTGTCATCATTCTGGCCATTGTCTAGCCATTGCAGGACGAAGGCCTCTTCCGCATGTTTCCAACCAATATGGTCTTGAGCTTTCCTTTATCAGTTGGTTAAATCAAGGAAAATAGCTTCTTTCCTCATTCTGTTCTGCTAACTGTGAAAGCACAAGTAGCTCAGCTCAGATAATTTCTGATACCCTCCTTTTTCCAATGCCCTCTGCATATTGTTATTGTTTAGCACGACAAAGCCATATAAAGGATATCCAGCTTTATAGGCCTGCATACAAAGTGCCTTAGCTGTTATAGCTAAATATCCCTTCCCACGGAATGATGGAAGGGTATACCCATGTGTTTGGGTGCCAAAAAGATCCATCAACGCCCAGCTGATAAGGTGTCCCTCCTGGTTCAGGATGCCACTACTAGGGAAATGCTGTATCATTTTGGCCAGATACCTGCGGCTTTGTTCATTGCGCCCGTAGGGCCAGGTTTCATTCAGTAGATCAACGTTGGAACTATTCAAGGAGGAAAGTCTGAAGCCGGGCTCTAGCCTGGAAAAGATGAAAGGCAAAAAGAATAAAATCAAAGAGATGAGAACAGAAAATTAAACGGTTAGTTTATCTATTTAGGGTTCTGGGAATTGAAGTCCACAAGTCATAAAGTGGCCATTATTTCCCATCTCTGATTTAATCCAACACTGGCCAGCCAGATAAGTGTGAGCTGTTTCCAGAAAGGGCAGCTGCGTATCCAAGGCATGATTTATGATCATTTTGTTTCTGTAAAAGTGCAGAAATGAGGAATAATGAATTGATTCCATTTTTCTTCATCAAAGTACAGAATTCTATTTTTTTTTTTTGTTACCATGTTGCCTTTTTAAAAAAATGCTATCCATGATGATGGGCACACATTTCCAGTGTCTCATGTATTATAAAGCGATAAAGAATAAAATGCAAATATTCCATTTTTATGAGATGGGAGTTTCAGATAGTCTTTCCTTCCCAGGCCAGACTAACTGAGCTTTGGACAGGCAAAAAATAAATAAATAAAAATGAAATGAAATGAGGAGATGTGATCCCGTATCACGGTCTTTGCTAATGGATAATCTTTCACTTTGTGAAATTTGCAATCAGTCTACAAAACCTACTGATGTTGAATTACAATGCTTGAAACTGCTAATCAGATTTGTTTTAGCATTACTGTATTCCACATCCCATTTTCTCTAATATCCTGCCTTTGGAAAGGCAAACATTCAGGAATACCTCAAAGCTTACACTTTTAACAATTAATCATTTTTTCCAAGGACCATCATGCCTATTACTGTTTTCCCCCCTATCTTTTCTAGGCATGCTTTCTGTTACACCTCTCCTCTTGTGTGACTCTGTCTCTCTGTCCCTGGAGGAATCAATGTATCCTATAGCAATACTGTTGTTTTTGGCACCCGACTGACCCATAAGCAATGTGAATGCAGATTTCAAAGACAGCAGCCATTACTGTGGGAGCCTGATTGTAACAAAATCTTCAGAATGCCTTAAGAGTTCTGCCTCAGGCCTCAACAGTAGAACAGTGGTGATGGCCAACAGGATAGTCACTCACCTACCAGTATGCCATTTATTTGGATCAGAAAGCACATAGAGGAAGTGAGGAGTTACAGATAAGTTTGTTTGTTTAGCAGCTGCTGCATCCTGGGTAGCTTCAGGTATCCCTTCCTGAGTCCCTGGAAAAAATAATAAAATAAACATTCATTTACCAAGAAAAGGCTATATGCACAAGTTGGAAGTACAAAAAGGCAAGACATCTGAGATGTACATGACCCCCGGACACTGCAACTGTCATAAATACGAGTCAGTTGCCAAGCATTTGAATTTTGATCCCGTGACCACAGGGATTCAGCAACGCTTGTAAGTGTGAAAAGTGCACTTAGATTTTCACATATGGCTTCTCCATTTTGGCTTTCTTTTTGTAAAGTAAATGGTGGCATGTTTTAATATTTTACGTGTTGTTGTTCATCTCAGGTTGTACTTACCTACTTTTAAGAACTGCTAAAGACCAGATTATTTTTACTATGCTCTGATATGTAAAACCACACGACTCTAAGAGGGTGTACTTTCTTTTTCACGTGACTTTAGTCTGGATCAATTCAAATTACCATTCCTGCAGTTTAATCTAGATATGGGTCATATTTAATTTGATAGTCATACAATCTGCTGAGATGGATTCAGTTCACATTGGGAGAGGAATAGGCAAAGAATTAAAATGATATACAGAAAATATTGCCAGAAGCTGACAACATCACTGTACAGTTCACTCCTTCAAAAAAGACCATTACCAAAGAGATGGAAGGTGTGGTCCCAGTTCACAGCATCTGTATCCTTTACAAGCCTCCGATACGCATCCAGATCCTGATAAAATGCTGCATACACATTGGTATACATGTCTGAGGGATCTGTGACAATCTAGAAGAAAGGCATGGAGCTCATATATAACCTCCTGATTCACCTCCTCCTCATATATCTCACATCAACCATTTGCCAAGCATTTTTTTTTCTAATGTGGAGATGAAATTATAGAAATAATCATCATGCACTCATCAGCGCAATGCCTTCCTTTTTTGGAAAGGCCAAAGGCGGCCTCTTCCCAAAAAGCAGCAGTACCTTAGATTAGCAATTGTTAGGATATGGTATAAGTCTAACAAGTTGTCCAGGCAATATATGTGTTTTATCACTTTAAATGTATTCTGTAACTTTAAATGTAATGCTGAGTAATTGTACTGCTGAGTCATTGTAATGACTAATGACTGCTGACTGAATGCTGACTGCAATTATCATAATTGTACTGTTAAGTCACTGCACTTATCTTAAGTGGATAATTACTAGTGTAAACTGTATATAAGAAGGAAGCCGAGCTATAGTCATTGTTGGACCTGCTCTCATCATTGCTTGACTTGCTGCTTGACTGGAACTGTTGATTGGAACTGTTACTATAGTGTATGAAGGAGTTCTCATTGTGGATGGATCTGCTACCATCGTGATTTGTTACCAGCGTTGAATTGCTGTTTATTACCAACTGCTGTAAGTAAGAAGATATCTGTAACTTCGGACTGATTTGAATGGCTAAAGACTTGGATTGATTAAAAGACTCTGCAACTGTTTTTCACTACAAAGTAAAAGCTTTGTTAAACCAGTTTGTATGTATTGTATTCATTGCTCTCTGTACCATTTCTCTGTGCACTTACTCTGCTGGTTGGTAACACAACAATATCCTTAACAGCAATACCTTAGATTTCCCTCAGTTTGGCTAAGAACTCCTAGATATTCCTCCCTTCCTTCTTCTCTCCCTCCCTCTCTCAGAATCACCAAGACTGTTTATTACCTCTTTGCATGGTCTGGTAAGGACAACTTTGAACTCTGGCCATGAATCCACAATAACCTCGTGACCAACTGGGTTCCCCCGATTTATGTTCATGACTGCTCCATGCACCTGTCAAGAGTCAAGTGTTAGTGAAGTTACAGGTATCAGCCTGAGATCAATGTGTGGAGAAAAGGAGAGTGGCATTAATTTAGATTTGCTGCGATAACTTTTACCTAATGTTCTATCACTCCCCCTTCCCCACGTGTTGAAGATGTTCCAGAAATACGTCTTTCTGTTGCTGAATAAGATGAAAGAATTTCATCTGTTATGCAGAAAATTGCAGATCTGCCCTTCAACTTCCCATTCACCACGGATCTATGCCCATTAGATGCATCTGGCTGAATGTACTTTTATATCTTTATGATTCTACAGTACGTGTTATGTTACATGGATCATATTTTAGATATAGATACAATTTTCAAGGAATTGTTTCTTGCAATTTTTGGTAAATGTAAGCACAAAAGGTAATACTTTATTTATCCTGAGTACCAAATGTTACGTTCTAGAAAATGAAGTAATTGTCAAGATTCTACCTCAATGTTCTAGTAAATGTTTCAGAATTACCACAATTGTCTGAGGGAGACTCTTCCTCAGAATTCCCTCCAATAAGCGCAGTTTGTAAGGACAGGAGAGGACCAGCATAGTTTTGGAGCTTGAAGCTGATGGGTAGAACAAAGACATAAAAATACCTGAATGAGAGTTCACTTCTCCATACCTTCCTGTCACTCCCAAACTGGATAGATGCCCTCTATCTCATAAAAACAACAAATTTATTCAAGATCCCTACCAAGGTAAGGCACAAACCAATGCAGCTTCTCTGCTTCCCACTGTAACTTTCCTTCCCTTTCAGCTCACATTTGAACATAACCCAGGATTTTCCCTTAGGAATCACCAATATTCTGTCGCAGTGTCTCCTACTCACCTTCAGCAAACCAGTTCTTTGTCAGGGCAGCTCCACAATTTCTCCTCCCTTCTTATGTCAGTCTTCTGTCCAGTCCAATCTCTTTAATGCTTGCTTTGCTATGGAGATCAGTTTTATATTACAGCAGATTAACTATTAACAGATACTGTGTGGATGTAGAGATTCCTTGATGAAGAGGGTGTTAAAGGGTTTTTGGTAATAATTGGCCAAGTCCCTGAACCCCAGGACAGGTTTTTTCATAAATGGGACAATTATGGTATTGAAAGAACAGAAGCTTCTCTCAGGTTACAAATTCAGGTTGCACGAACAGACTAAGATAGCAGATTTGCTCAAGCTGGAACAGAAAATACAAGCAAAATACTTTGTGTTCAAGTTTCCAGAAATATGCATGTCTCAACATTCATATGAGAAACAGCTACAATGATTCTTCAATAAAAATAAGAAAAAGGACAAGTTATTTTAGAACCTAGGATCATCCATTAAAGATCAACAGAGGGACATGTAGGTTAGGTAAAAAGAAGATTGTTTTTACTGGTTGTCACAGAGGATGTGCTATTGTATAAAGTGATTAGTTAATTGCATTCAAGTGATTTTTATTGTCTAGATATGCATTTATTTGGATACATTTTAGGGTTGTGCAAATCCTTAGAAAGAGGTGCTTTGGAACAAGCAGGAGGCCCAAAGCATTCCTTTTTTATTATAAAAGCTTATTTCTTTCAAGCTTACCTGTCAATGCTGCTCCCAATGCAGCTTTGGTAGTGTATTTGATCACTGCATGCATATGCAAAGACAACAGGGAGCAGCTTCCGAAGCAGCCAAATGAAGCACACCATGACAACAAAGTTCCATGCATTATTTCCCTCAATGAGGGTTCTCCTGGGCATCAGATTTTATTTCTCTTCTCTTCTGTACCTCTGGAATAAGCACAATCTTGAATGTTATAATGCCTTTCTAGAAAGTGACCTGCTTTGAGATGAAGTTAAAGGGGAACAGGAATGTGAAAAATGGATTCTGGTAGAGATCTAGTTCATCTGGAAAGCTCTAATAAGAAGAATTTTGCCATAGAAAACCTGAAAGGGAAACATCCCTTTCAGAGATATTTCCTTAATAAAGAAGTAGAATGACCAGAGGAGAGGGAAAAAGCAGTGGGAACGGGAGCAACTTCTGACTTCCTGCCAGCTTCCCCATTGACTTTGTGGGAAGCTGTCAGGGAGTGTCGGAAATCATGATCATAATTCAGTCATAAGTCAGACCATGGCTGACTGGTGCAAAGCTGCAACAGCCACAGCTTTGCAAATACAACTGGTATGAAAATCCTTGACATTTTAATTACATGAGAGTAATGGATCCCAGATTTTATATGCATTTTGTAGTTTAGCATATTTGAGGTATCTTAATTCAAAAAGATGAGGTCAAGAAATGGAATTTGGGAGGAAATATTGGACATATGAATTATGTTCTACCATAATGGTTTCGAGGCAGTAAAAACCTATCACTGCCAAGATGAAGCAGCAAACAATTGTAGATTGCACATTTTTGGAAGTTATAAAAATCCAGGCATTTATTCAAATCTATCTCCATCTTTAGGCATATTTTTACTGCACAGCTTTGTGGAGAACAGAACCAGTCAATTTTCATATTAACAAAGCAAAATGTAATTTAGTTTTGTATACTAGGAGTCAAGTAAAAGCCAAATATAACAATTTATTTAATGATAGAGAGATAACTCCCAGAAAAAGAAGCTGCAACATCAGGAGGTATCAAATCTTATCCATGAGGAATGCCAAAATACTGGCCAACTGGACTCCCTTTGCATTTTAGGAGGAACAAGCAAGAGACCACGACTGAGAAGCAGTTCAGTGCTGGTGGTAAGGCAGAAAAGTCAGAAAGTCATTCAAAAGAAGGAAGTGTGATATGGATGGATAATTTTCAGTAATTTTCACATAGTCTGCATACCTAACAAGGACATCATGTTATTTCACCCAGTACATGTGGAGATGGTCTAGTGCCATGATGGCGAACCTATGGCATGCGTGCCAGAGGTGGCATGCAGAGCCTTTTCTGCTGGCACATGCGCCATCACCCCAGGTCAGATCTCCGTGGCGTTTCTTTCGTGAGCTTGTTTCCCTGCAAACAATGAAACAGAAGCTCATGAAAGGAAAAGATCTTACTTCTTGCCATGCTGCCAGTGTTGGGATGTCCTGCCTCCCGCCGGCCAGCTGGTCTTTGGGTCTCTGCTGCACATGTGCGTGCGCATGTCTGCGCATCCACCACGCATGTGTGTTCACGCATGTCCGTGCATGCATGCATTAGTGCATGTCCGCGTGTTGGCACGCATCTTTCCATTTGGGCATGCGCATATGCACAGTTTGGGCACTCGGTGTCTAAAAGGTTTGCCATCACTGGTCTAATGGGAAAAACTCTAAAACTAAGCATGACTGGATCTGTTCAGAAAACTCCAGGAGATGTTAATGGTGCCAGGAAGGCAGATGACATGAGTTTACCAGGCTTGAATTTGTACCTTTGAGCTTGGATTATAAAACCTTCAGGGTGTAGGCTTGGTACAGCTAGTTTTAGCCAGAGAAACCTCATTTTGTTGAAAAACCTTCATTTTGCTCCTAGATGTTTTTCTTTTGGGGCCTCTCATTCTTGGGCCTCATATCCTTTCCTAAAATTCCTGGAAAGCTAGTGATATCCTTGATCAAGAAACTGGAAACAGGCGAACAGCTTATTCAGGGTTAACTTCTCTATTCCTGTTGCAGATAAATCAACTAAAAAGGTTTGTACACTTAATTACCCACCTTATCAATTAGGGACAGGGCTGCAACATTTTAGTAATGAACCCAATTTCTGGGAAAGTCATTCTCTACCAGGGTTAAGAATACTTTGTTACTTTTTGCTAATGATCGTGTGCCTTTGTCTTCCAAAAGTATATAAAAACTATGCTAATTTGGATATAGGAGCTTTTTCCTTTGTGATGTAGTCCCAAGAGCACATCCTTTTACCCTGTACACAATAAACAAAGTCCAGCCTTGTGTGACAATTAGCTACTTCACACCAGGAAAAAAACAAATCCGCATTTAGTTGGGCCAATCTATGGTTTGGACAACATTTTTGGAAGTAGCAATATCAAATCAACCTCGGGCCATGAGAGAGTGACTGGCCCAGTGGTGAAATACGATTTTTTTTACTACCGGTTCTGTGGGCATGGCCTGGTGGGCATGGTGTGGCTTGGTGGGCGTGGCAGGGGAAGGATACTGCAAAATCTCCATTCCCATCCCACTCTGGGGCCAGCCAGAAGTGGTATTTGCCAGTTTTCTGAACTACTCAAAATTTCCGCAACTGAAGAAGATACCCACGGATGACGACATTATCAAGAAAATTTTGGAGTGTGCTGAAATGAGTAAATTGACATTTGAAATTAGGGAACAAGAAGATAAACAATATTATTTGATATGGGGTTTATTTTATCAATGGTTGGACAAGAAAGAATGGAAATGAAATATGAAATATGAAATGGATAAGATAATAAAACATATAAAGGGGATTTTTTTTCCCCTTATAGAGGACAATTTACTGTTAAATAATTGGTAAATGAGAATAATAATGTAATAAACTGTTAAATAAGAAAATGTTGGATAGAGGATTAAGCACAAAAGATTTGTAACCGATCAATACACTTTCTGTGATTGTAATGGATGATAATTGTTTTATGTTTTAAGTTTTGTTTAAAAATAAAAAAAAAATCCCCCCCCCCCCAAAAATTCCGCTACTGGTTCTCCAGAACCTGCTGGATTTCACCCCTGGACTGGCCCATGATCATGGCTTTGCCCCTGAGGCGAAACTAGAATTTACATTTCCCTGTAGCTTGGTGCCTTAACCACTACACCAAAACTGGCTCGGACTAATCATTCTTAATAAAGTTAATTACGGGCTTAAACTTTCAGCGATTCTTGAATTTAATGCCTGAAAGACCGCTAATCTCGCGCAGTAAAGTATCCCTTCCCACAGATCTCAGCAGAGCAACGAGTGCCTTTTATAAAAGGATGCTGCGAGAAGGCTCCAATCGGGACATTTCCCAGCCATCAGCAGAGGCCTTCCTTCCCCTTCCCTCCAAGGCAAAGCGAAAGCAGCTCCGCCATTGGCTAAGCCAATGCGACAACAACTACACTCCACACGGGCTATTCCGGGTTGTTGGGAAACGAGCTTCGCAGCAGGCCCACCCTCTCCGCTCCTGCGTTCGCACGAGACGTTCCGCGCACTGCTTGGACCCGTGGCGATTCGCGAGGACGGCGCCCGCCGCATTTCTCCTAGGTTGGCTTCTCTTTCTTCAATAAGAGAAAGCGGGGAAGGGGGAAGCTTCTTTCTTCTCGACGTTGCTAAATGTCTATGGAGGTTCTCAGTCATCCAGGTCAAGGTTGTCCCCAAAGGGGCTTTTTTTCAAGAGGCAACTGGACTTTCTGGTTGTTGTTTTTTCTTTGAAGAAGACGTTTCGCTTCTCATCCAAGAAGCTTCTTCAGCTCTGACTGGATGGTGGGGGAATGAAACCCACTCAGAGCTGAATAAGCTTCTTGGATGAGAAGCGAAACGTCTTCTTCAAAGAAGAAACCAGAAAGTCCAGTTGCCTCATGAAAAAAGACCCTTTGGGTTCTCGACGTTGCTTCTCTCTCCCTCGAGGAAGGGAGCGAGCGAGAGGCTGGAACTTGGATGGATCCGTGTCCCCTGGGAATAAAATTTAGACGCGGGTGTTGGCGAAGGAAAGCCTTACTCGGGGCGGGGGGGGGGGAGAGCAGCTGATGGGGAGCGAAGACGCGGATGAAGGTCGGGAGGATCGGCCCCTCTGTTTTTTTCCATCCTTCGCGAGGGATTATTAGTATGCTTGGGAATTGAGAGGCGTCCCGTTGGAGAAAATCAACGGGTTGATTTTCTCCCCCGCCCAAGGGAGAAGAGGACTGGGTGCTGTCTACGTCTCCCAGCCTTAATCGGGCAGTGCCAGGGCTTCCTTAAGGTGGTTATAAGGCGAGGGGGGAATGGAGGAGCACAGAAGGTTTTCTTCTTCCCCGCTGAAGAGGTGGGGAGTCGCTCTCGCAGGTGGGAAGGAGACCGAAACCCTCTGCTCGAAAGCGGGCAGCTGAGGGGGTGAATCGCAGCGGCTTCTCGCCTCTTCCGGAGCTTCAGGAACTGGAGCCGGAGCCGCTGGTCTAAGCCTCTCTGCTTCTCCTTCTTCCCCTTCACTGGGAGCAGCCTGGAGAGACGCTCGGGGACTTCGCATGGAGCTATGAGCAGGAAAGGACTCATCACCGATTGTTTCCAAGTGGTGAAAAAGGAAGGAGGCGGGAAAGAAAGAAAAGAGGCTCAGAGCCCACCTCAGGGTAAGCACTTCTATGGGCTCCCCCCCCACACACACAATCTCACCTTTGTGGGTTCCATCTCCTTCCTTTGTTTTGGCCATTGGAATGGCTTGGTATTGTGGGTGGATTCCTCTGTTTCGTTACTCTTTCCACCCATGCCAGAAACAAGCACTAGTCGCCTTCTCAGGTGGTTTTGCAAGCAGGGCTATTGCTCACAGAGCCGGAAAGTACTCTAGAGACAACAATCAAGTCGACCCGTGCTCATAGTAAGCATTTCAATGGTTAGTAGGACTCCATGATCCCACTCCCCAGTTCTTTCTACTTTCTTAATGTCACTGGAGGCAAAAGGGAAAACTAGCAACGCTTCTAACCTCAGCCTTTGCTGAGCTCAAAGAGATGTCTTCTCCTAGCATTCGGGTCTGCCAACCCCATTAGGAGAGCTTCAACAAGTCAGCAATGTTGCAGAAATTCCAATCCCAAAGTGGGAAGCCTCTGTTCTCTGGTCTATTTTTCTTTTCTTTTGTGCCTGACATCCTGGCAGATGCCTCACCTGGCTAGATTTATTCAATTTCTATAGCTGCCTACCTCAAAAAATGGACTCTGCACAGCAAACGATAATAATTAAAAGCACTCATATAGTACAAAATTAAATGTATATGGCAGCTGAGAAAATGTCAATATAGTCAGAAAATAGGATCCTTCACACATTTGGGGGGTCTCAGATACAAAGCCAAGTCTTTGGAGCCTTACTACAGGCCAACTGTGTCAGGGTCATCCTCAATTGTTAAGGAGAGACTATTACAAAGGGCAGGGACTTTGGTAGAGAAGATACGTCTCTTGGTCCCCACCAACTGACATTCCTTGGCTGACAAGGCTCTTAGCAAATTACAACTCCAAGCTACCTCCATTATTAAAAATAGAACTTCAGAACAATGAAAAAGGGGGGAGATGGTGAGAGAGAAAAAACATTCTTTTCACTAGAAAAGGAGAGCAATGATCTTCTCCTGCAGTCACGCCCACATTCCCAGCAGCTTCTGTGGAAACTTAAATTTTTCTAGACTGTAAAGAAAATTGGGTTCTCAGCCACTTCTTGGATAGCTCCCCCCCCAAAAAAAAAGGTGCCACAGGTACATAGTGGGGCAAGAAGAGTTCATGCAGTTTTTGAGGCCATATTTACCTGATTCTTTGTTCTTGGTGGCCTGAAAAATGTCTTGGCTGGTGCTTTGAGGGAAGTTTTTGCAAACCAGTTTGTACAATAGAAATGGATACATAAATAAAACTGGAAAGTTATGAAATTCCATCTCCCCATTCTGCTTTACGCAGGCATAATAGGGAGTTCCCATGATTAGCAATAGTTTTAATAATACTAATACAATTCAAATCTTATTTGGGAATTCTCCCCTTGCGCTATGTGAAAGTTGGTGAATTATGAGAATTTACAACCATACATCTTAAAGTTGCCAAATTTGAGAAACACTGGTATAGCTGGAGAGATGCAAACAGCATGGCTGTGGCCATTTAGATTTTGGAATTGGCTAAAGAGGAGGTGGTAACAAAATTAATTGGTTAAGTGCCACCCTAAGCCCTTTATGCAAGGAAAAATACCAGCGCTCCACCTATTAACACTAATGGGTTGATCGCTTCTCAGTTTTAGTTCAAGCAGAATCTGACCTACAAGATACCGCACAACCTGATCAGTTGGAAATACTGAAGCAGTTTGATCTCAGCTGGCAATATGGTCCCTGCACTGGTAAGAATGTCTAGTTATCTATTGAAACAAAGTCCCAAGTATGGTACATATCATGAAAGAAGTAAATGTTTGCCTTTTCTTTGCTGTTGTTTCCTTCCTGCCAAATTTTGAAATATAACCTCATTTTAACAGAAACTTACACGCTGTAAAGAAATGGTTCATAAATGGTGTATCATATTATGTTGCAGATGCATTGAATGTTTGCAGTAGATCAGCAATTATTATTCCCAGTTATTTATTGACACAGTACATCATTAATACAGTAGTTATTGAAGGAGGAGATAAGTTCACTAAATTTAAATAGTCATTCAATCCAAATTTACATACTTTGCTATCACCCCCAAACCAAATAATTTTATTAATAGTTATTATGCAAATGTACTTAAATTGATGCAATGTCTTTATGTCAGTTGTCCAGACTGCTATAGAAAACAACAGTCTAATATTAGGAGGTGAAGAGCAAGTAGAATGCTGTTGTATCCAAAATTTGCTGAATGGTGTTTTGTAAAATTGAGGGTTTAATGTAGCAGCAACAAAAATAACTACCTTACCTACTAAATTTACACTGTATAATTTAAGACCAGTTGGACAAAAAAATGATTGGATATTTATCAGAAAGAATTCCATATTCCATTGTGGCCCAGAAAACAAGTTAAAGTCTTCTGTACTTAGCTTTGAATGATGGATCCAAGTACTAAATAGAGTTTGCAAGTCTGAAGTATATACACTTGTACTGTAAAATACCATGCACGATGATAATGCCAGACAAACAACAATAGTAACGTAGAAAAAAGGAACTCATAAATCATCATCAAGCTCTCATAACCACAGTTGTCTCAGATAAACTGATTAGGAAGCTTCCTGCAGATATTACATTCTTGAATCACTTTCTTCTGCTGACAGGAATCACCCGTATGCAGCGCTGGGAACGAGCCAAATTCTTAGGACTCAATCCCCCTACAACTGTGCAGGATTTGCTTCTGAAATATAATAAGGACCCTTTTGTTATATATAGGTCAGTATATTATGTGTCTACATTTTTCACTCTCTTGTTTGTTTTAAAAAAACTATCCATCAGAAAGGACAAAATTATGAAAAATAGCATGGATTATTGGGTTAAATTCTGGTATTACATTTGTGTGAATAGGCTGTAACTACCTCTTTAAAGAAAAGACACAGATTATAGAACAAGTGAGATATAAGGTAAACCAGAAGAAAATTTCCAGCCATTCACATTCAGAATATAGAATTTATGCAGAAACACAGCCACCATTCTTTCCTTAAAGCTCAAGTATCCGTGGCTTGTATCATAGTAGAATTGTTAGTAACGAAGACGTATGACGACTTTATGAGAAAAATATCACTTAGGATCAGCAAGAAGTCAGAACAAAGGCGGCATGTCAGATATGTCTTTTCTTCAAGACGTCTACCACAAGCAATGTGAAATGTAGTCAAGCAAGGAAGCTTAATTCCTTCTGTATTTATAGCCTTAACATTTATAGTCATGTATTTAGAACAGTGAAGGCAAACCTCTGACACACATGTCAAAGGTGATATGTCACATTTTGGCTGACAAACCAGCATCACCAACAACTGTTCTTGAAAGGATGCCCCATTCTGATACAATTTTTGGAGCTTGTTGCGGCTGCATGAGAATGGATGTGTTCTCACACAGCTGCCGAACTTTTCAAAAATGAGTTCGTTTTAATTGTACCAGTATTTCATTTTTGTAATTAGGGAGTGTTTCTTTGTATAATATATAGCGCCACATGGACTATATTTTTTAAAAATAAATAAATATATAAAGAATTGTTTCTCTTTTGCTTGAGGAGGAGCAATGACAAAGTTATTTTCCAAATTTGTGATACACCAAGCCCAAAACATTCACCATCGCTGCTTTAGAGCTATATGTAACCTTTACAAAGCTAAAGAGAGAGTAATACCGGAGCCTTCCATCCAAATACTGATTGGCGCCTAATTTTTTTAGCTGCTTCAGTGTTATAGGAGTAAGTGCACTGTGAGGACCCAACATTAAGGAGATGATGAGAATTTCAAGAGGTCCCAGATATGGTCTCCCTTTGCCTCCCTTCCATGAATTCATTCCCCTCCTCCTCCGCTTTGGCCAAGAACATGCTAGCTTTGAAAGTTGAGAGCTGTGGGACAAGAACTGACTCCAGATGGAAAATTTGCTTAAGTTGACCATAAAATTGTGTCTGCCACAAAGGATGTTGTTGTGTCACAGAAGACAGCCAAGCCCATTCCAGCTGCTTGGCAAGGAGATGGAGTGGCCATGTGAAAAGTCAACCCAGGCCGCCTCTTGACAGTAACCATGCTCCAAATTTCTTTCTTGTAGCTTGTGGCATGAATATACTCTCTGAAAAGAGCAACTGTTGTTACCTGAGGCTGAGAAAGAGCCCTTGCCATTATATTACCATAATCATATGGATGTTTCCATCATTCCTGAGAATGCTGCTTTGCAGTGGTGGTAAGGTTCTTATAAGGGAGAGAAGGCCTTCTAGTTGATCTCCACTTGGGACTTTGGCCTCAGCTTTTAAAAATCATTAATAAGAACTAGATCAAGAACTGATTTATACCAATAATCACAGCAAGCCAAATTCAATATGGAATTGCAATCTTCTTTGTATTTTTAATGTTTCATTCAATTTTGAACCTGGTTTGATTTTGATAAGTGCTTGTGTACTTTAAGAGGTGCTGAAACAATTGTCATCAGCATTTTTGTCTATGCATTATGAACCACTTTTCTAAAAGAATTTCATGCTGTCTTTAGTAAAAAGTAAAAGCTATTGTATTGGTTCCATAGTTTTAGGGTGTGGAGGACATATTCAGTAAGCATGTGCTGTAGTTAAAGCTAGAGCTACTGAACTAAAGCTACAGAGAACTGAAGGTTCAGCTGGATCAGCATTGCCAAAAAAGGCTAAGATCTGATTATTTGCTCAGATTTCTTAATTATTAATAATTATTCTGCTTTTGGTTTAATGTTGCCTTTTATCATATTGATTGGTTTTATTGATTGTGCATATTGTGATATTTATATATGTATAGAAAACTTTGAAAAATAATAAAATGCACTTTCTTGTACAATTTTTCACTCTTTTTCCTGGGAGTGAGGAGGAGAAACAACAGCTTCAACCTTCCACAGATATTACAATGAGCTGGAATTTCAGCACCACAGCTTTGGGCAAATGTTAAATGCTGAATAGCCTGTAGCATAAGATGTCAAACAGCACTTAATCTGTATCTGCAGAAGCAACAATGGTCTGATACGTTAAAATCAATTTCCCAAAGTACTCTATTCCATCTAAATGTATAAAAAAAACGATTAAAGTAATGGAAGGCACATCTGGTAAGATAAATGAAGACAGGAGCTGAAAATTACAGAAATTACCATGTTTGATAAAATCATGATAAGACATTCGTTTAAAACCTGTAATACAAGTGATAATTTAAAAATGCCTTTAATAATATATAACAATTTGATGCTGATTGTATAGGTATGTATATGTATTTATCGGTATATGGAAACAACAGTAGCAAAATATCAGGAAAATAACAAAAGGAAAAAGGAAAAAACTAAAAATATAAGCTCAGCATCAAAGAAAAATAAATTGCATCCAAGATGTAACTGAGATAAACAAAGATAGCCTCTGAAATTACAAAATAAAATGCAATCATAAGACATCTGTAGTTGTTCATTAAAACTTTGTAAAATTGAATAAATCTTCAACTAGGGAACTCTCAGGGCACTGGAAAAAAATTAAAACCTTGTTTGTAGCCAAGGTAGGCAACAATCTGCCTGCCTGCCTATTTATCATTTGGCAAGAGTTCAGAAGTGGTTTGCCACTTCCTGCTTCCTAGGGCTGAGAGAGAGTGGACTGGCCCAAGGTCAGCCAATTGGTTTTAGACTTAATGCAGAACTAGAACTCGGTCTCCCAGTTTCAAGCCTGATGCCTTAGCCACTACACCAAACTGGCTCTCTGCTAATACGTATTAGCATTTTATTAACATAATTTGTTGGCGGTAACTTTAGATAAAAAAATCCTCCTCCGTACATGAATGAAGGAGGACACAAAAGGATTACAGATTAAATGACAACATGTATTAAAAGAATAAAGGATATTCCAATTTGTAATGAATTTTGCATATTCCTATCTTCCAAGAAAATGTTGGACAATGGAATGTTATATTTTCACTAAATCTCTAAACCAATGGCTGTCTTTTTAAAATCAGTTTTCATTTATTTTAGACCTGCCGTGATCATCACTTTGAGGTGGTGGTAGATGTCCTAATGCCTATAAGCACCACATTGCCAATCCCTGCCCCATGCAATTATGAAATATAGAGAGGGTCCATTTATTGTTCACAGTTTTCACTCTTTATCAGTATCAGAATGTTTGCTTAAAGGCAAGAACAATTATAAGGACATAAGACTAATGTTCATGCTATCAGATAGAATAGATTAAATGCCAACAGAATCTGAATACTTTGCTATGCTTGCTCTCTACAATACCTTTAGACTAAGATATAACTCCCGAGTGAGAAATACTTTAATTAAATGAGTACATTCCTTAAAGAAAATTGTCTCCCATTTGATAATTTCACATAGAGGCAGCAGTATTGTGAAAAGTTGTCCCTGGTAAAAAGTTGTCTCACTATGAACTGGATAGCCAATGTTCGAGAACATTTATTATAGAAGCATTTATAAAAAGAAGCTGTGCTACAAGACGGTATTTTAGAAAAGTTCCCTATGCTTCCAGTGCACTTGAACTGCTTTATGGAAAGCATTAGTTGTATGTAAAAATAATTAGGCAGCACCTGTATTCTCAGAACTAAGCAAAACACTCCTTTGAACAGAGGACATAGGATTGCACTGAAAATAACTCGATCAAATCACTGCTTTATAAGAACCTGCCCATGTTCTTCAGAGTTTAGATATTTAGTTTTTCTCTAAATATCAAGATACAATCTTTAAACATCTGTGCTGGAAACCAGGTTACACCCTCTTGTAGAAATTCAGGACATGTCCAGAAAATGGGCAGCTCTGCATAAGATCTCCAATCAGGAATGTAAGAGAGAAATAAGGCAAAAGCGTGCGTCTATAACCATCCACATGTGAAGCCTGCAATCAGCCTGTAGGACACGCAGTTTTTCAAGGCATGAACAGACTGATATGCAGTACAGGTAATCCTCGACTTACAACCACAATTGAGTCCATTGCTAAGTGAGACAATTGTTAAGTGAGTTTTGCCCACTTTTATGGCCTTTCTTGGCACAGTTAAGTGAATCACTGCATTGTTAAATTGGCAACATGGTTATTAAGTGAAGCTGACTTCCCCATTGACTTTGCTTGTCAGTAGGTTGCAAAAGGTGATCACATGACCCTGGGACACTGCAACTGCCATAAATACGAGCCAGTTGCCAAGTGGCTGAATTTTGATCACGTGACCATGGGGATGCTGCAATGGCTGGCCATGTGAAAAATGATAATAAATTTCACTATCATTGCAACTTCGTGGGATCACTAAATGAACGGTTGTAAATCAAGGATTACGTGTAATTATGTACTCACACCAGGGACTGCTAGCCATAAGTTTTCACCTTCTGTGAGAAACTGAATCATGCTAAGTATCTTTATTGCCCTCTAGTGGGAAAACTCTGGAAATGAAGACTCATACTCTTCCCAGTTCTATAAAAATCTAAAGCATGGGTATCAAACTCGTGTCACGTTGCCGTTTCATGATGTTTTTCCCCTTCGCAGAGCTGGGCATGGCCTGCACGTGACATATCCGGCCTGCGGGCCCCCAGTTTGACACCCCTGATCTAAAGCCATGCCTGATGACTCCTTTCTACAATTTAAGAGGTACTCCAACTCCGTACCTTGTCCTGTTCCCTCTACTCTTCCACTGTTCTTCCACGATGACCAGCACCAAAGGTAGCCCCCAGATTCCCTGCTGTGGAATACCTAGCACCAATATTGTTACCATGTCCTTATTTGCATGATGAAGGGATTTCCTGAGTTAGAAGTTCTTATTATGGATTCCCAGCAATGTCTGGGGGAAGGAAGACTGATCTTCATCCTAGTTGTTGCTCTTGCACTGCGGAGAAGATACTGCCCGTAGAGCTTGGCCAGGCAGATGGCTTGGTTGAGTCAATATTGATGTGATTTTGCTCAGCTGCAGAAGAGAGCCAGAGATAGCTACAAAAAGAAAAAATAAACAAAATTCCCTATTAATAACTATATGCCTCTTCCTGATCTCTAGAAATGTTTGAGATAGAACAAAAGCCATAAGTATATACACTGTATTTTCCTTGCATAGCCAATATCTTGTGATAATTCTTGCCTTTCCTCTGCTCCAAATCTAGACATGGTTGCGCAGTTTTCATTCTATTTCACACTTAAATTTTGAGTTACATATGCTAGCAAAATCACAATAGGCAAATTATAGAATTAAGATAATTCTTCCAATTCCTCCTTTCATTTTTCTCATATAGAACTTATATGGTTGCCTATCTCACACAATGACCCTAGGTGATCATAACCACCAATAAAAACAATTGGCTGAAATAAAAGCAGAACAAACTTCCCACTAGAGGCCAGAACAAGCAAATATTTGACTGCCTGACTCAACTCCACCCTAGTCCAATGCTTGGGGAAAGAACCACGTCTTCCTAGTCTTCTGAAGGCTAAAAGGGCAGGGGTAGTTTCCCAGCACTTAAGATGCTATGTTTATTTCATGCTCTGATAGGACTCTGGAATACTTCCAAGGTATTTGAAAAAATCTGCCTGGAAGTTTCAGATTTCTTCACAATTGTAATTTGTCCTACCAAAGTGCCAAACCATACCAGGCCGCAAGATGGGTAATGTGCAGTGCTGCTCCAACCAGTTCATCACCGATTGGCAGAAATCCTTGACGTTGCCCGTGTTCACCATTTTGGTATAGCTCTCAAACAGTGGCTTAATTATAACACTGAACTGCAAGTTGAAAAGAGTTAAGGATTCATTACAATCAACTTTTTCCATTTAAAATTTTGCTGTGGCAATTACAATAAATCAGACTTTATGCCCTCAATTTTTATCCTCTGCAGTAACCAAATAAACCCCAGTTCCTGATGGATACAATCCAAAAACGCCAGTCGTCTAATGTGCGCTGACGTACATATTCTTCATAGAGTTCAGAAGCCTGATTTGATTGTGGAGGTAATACAGGAGCTCCATTAGGTGGAAGTTGGCGCTGGAATTTACTGCAGGAAAAAAAAAAGGTACAACTCAACCATGTAAACTTCCTTTACTCAGATCAAGTGACAGCTTGACCATTCAAACCTACTATTCAACTTACTCAATGGCAGTGCTCAACTCTTCAATTTCTCCACGCAGTTTTTCTGCCATTTCCTGATTTTGTCGGCGTTCTTGCTGAAGTCTTCCTACATATGCTACACTCTTCTGCAAGAGCAGTGCTTTGCTGAGCTGAGAGCATACAAGATGAAACAGAGGAAGGAAAGACAAACAGTTCCAAGAGGATCAGAGGAGAAATGGGAAAGACAAGATAAATACTAACCTTTCTTACAGGGAAAAGATATGTACCTTAGTGCTGGTTTGGTCAGATCCTGACAGTACTAGACTGGCAAGAGTGTTAAAGCCCGAGCTGATGATCATACGACGGGCACAGTCAGCAGAAGTAAAACTTGATCGGCAGCTTCCCTGCAAGGGACAATTGCATTCTGACAATTCTCAGCTTTGTAGTTCATTCAATTGGGCTACACAAGATAAGGCATTGTTTTTGATCTGCAGAAGACACATGGCATGAGAGGGTGGGGTACATGGGTGGAGTCAGGTGAGATTAATATATTTATTTTATCAAAAAGAAGACAACTCTGAATTTAAGACAATTATCCTCAGCCCAGGTGATTATAAACATAAATAATATTGCCATCTCTACTATCATATTCTAACTGATTCTGATACTTTTTAGATTTAAAAACAATTTAGGAGAAACATGATCTTCCTTTCAAATAGTGATCTTCTCACCTGAATAGGATTATGTTTGTATTTTTCCTGGTGACTACACAGATTCTTCTCCTTGGCTATCTTCTGAGCTGAGGAACCTGGAACAATTCCCAAAATATAGGGATAAATGGGCTTATATCCTGTTTTCACCTAAATGTGATATATAGACTAAAGTAAAGGAATAGATGAGACAGGATATGTGAAACGACTCCAAACCATGCCTAGCATGTTTACCAGTATCAAGCAAGGCAGCAGCTGAGACAGGAACTGGTGAAAGCTCCTTTGTAATGGAGACTGATCTCAGTAGGACATCAGCAGGGAACTTTGAGGTGCCACAGATCTGTAGGAGATAATAAAAAGAGTTGTCAGATAGGGATTATGAATAAATTGTGCATATCAATCCAAGAAGTCATAAATAAATCTATTTATTGAAAGGCCTCCAGCACAGAAGGTGGCAAAATCAGAACTGCTCATCTTACCCTTTTCAGAAGATGACAAAAGAGAACATCTTTACCTGTGCAGATTTTGTAGCTGGAGTGAGGGGCAGTGGGACAGGACCTAGAAATAAAAGAAAGAGGTGGGTTTTTTTTACCCATTTCTGTTTTCAGTCTCTATGAATCCCCAGTCATTAGAAATCTTGGTTGGCTAATGAGCCCTACCAGGAAAAGAACACTAAATTTGGCAATTCACCAGTAAACTACATTAGTTAGAGAGCCAGTCTTCTGAAGTGAATCCACCTTACCTTATCTAGAAACAAGCCACCAGTTGTTACTTAAAATAATGGGCATCTCACTCAGCACGGCATCTAATATCAAAAATCCAAGTAAACCTGGCCACCTCACAACCATTGTTTTCATCTAAAATTTTGGCTTGTATTACTCAGCTTGAAAACTACTCCTCAGAGTCTATTTATAGCTGTACATTGAAAGTTGCATATGCAAAGAGTAGAAAAAGAAATTCCGGAGTTCAATTTTTGCCTTTGTTATTTTTTTGATTAGAATATGCACTCTGAATATGAGTATGAGCTTTGCATTTCAATTAGTGCCTTTCAATATTATTTCAATGTGGGAATTAAGGAAATCTTTTAATAAAGTGATTGTGTAGATTTTAAAATTTGTACATGGACTTTAAATGGTTCGTATAAAAATACATTGGAAAAATATAACCAAGAAAAGCAAGTGTTGGACAGCCTGCAGCTGTCATGCTTTTACATAAGTAACTTCTAAAACTGTAATCAAAAACAATAATGTTATTTCCTATATAAATTTATATGTATACTGTGTTCTTAAATTTACATTTAAACCAAAATAGAAAAATCAGTAAAGAGCTCTTAACACCCATTACTTATGCCTACAGGCTAACATCCTAAATCTACTGAAGCCACTACCACCTGAGCTGCAGATTATTAAACAATTTTCGAGAAGTGCAAATCCAAAATAACACTTATATACTTCTAAAGTTCTAGTGTCTGTAACATTAACTGGATGAAATGGTGCATCATAGGGCAAAACATTTTCAACCAAGGTACCTCAAAAAAGGGCTAACATAGAATGCATTCAAAATCTGGGACCCATGACTCCTGTGAAATTGAAGTTTGGGAAAAGTTATGACATAAAAATATTATAAAGTAGTTTTATGACATATTACAAAATATAATAAAATATTTCATGTGGTCAATTGCAAAGGAAATGTTTGCTGTGCTATACAGTTCAACATGGGCTACTTTTGAGGCAGATACATCTCTGAATATCTCCCTGAATTTTTAAGAACTTTTCCAGTACATTAGAAACTCTGCCATTGTTGAAAGCATTGATGAATCTGGTAAGGAAATATTTCTGAAACAATGACCCAAAGATCATGGATTGTCTACAATTCTATAAATCTATGTTTCATTTTCCTTTTGTTTCAGGTACTTGACAAGAACAAAGCTAACTTCCATAGTTATGGAAATGAGGTACCCAAAATATATAGCTAGAAAGATCTTTTAAAATGTAAACCTTTTTCAAGCTTCACCAATGTTAGCAAAGATAAGAAGTTCAACTGATGACAGTCTGAAAATCAAATGTCTACCCAGGGGTGTTCACATGTGTGTCAAAAAAGGCAAGAATGGCACTTGTGTCCTTGTGATTGAAGCCCTGCTACTATTTTACATGCATTGCACTTTGACCTGTTTAAAAGGAGCTAGGGCACCAACTGAATGGTTGCGGCCACTTTTTTGTAGTTGTTGGCTATTTCCCCCCTATACCTGGTGACGGTTGTAAAATTAACTACCGTAGGATAAGTGCACAAATCCCTAGTATTACTTAAAAACCAAAAAGCAAAAGTCCAAAGAAAGCTTAACTAGTGCTAAGCCCCATTTCTCCTCTCTATGGAGCCCTGCTTAGCAGTACGTACCAGCTGTAGGTAGTGGAATGAAGGAGGGCTGGGGCGTTGCTGGCTGATGATGAGTAGAAGGTGCTGGAGCAATCCACTGAAGCTGCCTGACTCCCCCACCCTTGGTTGTGGAACCACAGTTTGGCATAACAAAAGATCCCCCAGGAGGGGATGGCAAGGTCTTTTCCAATCCAGTGTTAGTAACAACAGAAAAGACAAATGTGGTTTGTGGCTGAAGATGCAAGATGGGAGGGGCAGGTGGAGGGCTGATCCTTGGTGGAGAGGTAGGGAAGAATGGCAAGAAGATCTGCTGTCCAGTCAGAGGTGTAGGCAGCTCCACATCCAGAAGTGGGTCTCCCAATGGTGGGAGTTCCTTAGCATGAGGGACAACCGGAGGCAAATCTGAGGCGTCTTGGTCTAAGGCAGTAGCATCTGGCAGAGGTGCAGGAACCTAGGGAAGGCTAAGGAAATGTCAGCTCTTATACAGATTTTTTTTTAATTCTGTCAGCACTTTCTTACTGTTGCATAAGGAAGGGTGGGAGGGAAAGACTAATTACAGATGGACCTTGCTTAATGACCATTCAAATTAACAACGGCCTTGGAAAAAGTGCTTTACAGCCTGTAAAGCACTTCTGAACTCCCCCCCTCCCCATAGTCATGTGATGACATTATGGGTGCTTGGCAACTTATTCATACTTATCACTGGTTACCCAGTGTCAGCAATCAGAAAATCAATGGGAGAGCCAGCAGGGAAAGTTGCAAGCTGTTGTTGCTACCTGCTGAAAGGACTTAAGTGGAATGTTACATGATTGCTTTGCTCAATGAACATGATCCCAATATTCCCAGTTGCAATGGTTAAGTGATCTACTAAGGAGAGGCAGGGAGACAAGGATTTTAGTACATAAAAGCTCCCTGCCTCCTCTCTCTTAGGAGGTCATTTATGATTGCAACTGGGAGTATTGGGATCATGGTCATTGAACAAAGTAGTCACATGATATCTCATTTAATGATCTCTTCGCTCAATGTCTGAGTTTCCTTTCCCAATTGTCCTCATTAAGCAACCACTGCCTTTAATTTCTGATTTAAATTCATAACCAGGCACAGCACACTATTTGCAGTAAATGTAAACTAATAGTAAACTAATAGTAAATTATATAGTTCTTTATGTATGATTTAATTCACCTTATATAGGAATATACCAGGGAAATATAATCCAGAAAATCAAATAATGGATTGAAACAATTATCTGAGTATTGGGGTGAGCTGGGCTACACTTTTCAAACTGCAGGTTTCATTCCCTGTAACATAACTTCTAACAGAAAATAATAATCCTCATTTTATATATATGAAACTAAGTACTAGCCTTATTGTGGCTAATGTAATAAATGACTGGACATACTGCTTCTCCTTACCTGGAATATAGGCTGAGAACGACAAGAAGTAATAAATTCTGTGAAAAGAAAAAGGTAGGATAGATGACTTGGAGGAATCAATGAGTAATAAAAATGAGGATTGGCTGATAAACTCAATCAATTAAGCAAATAACCATTAGGATTTTTCTCTGTTAGTGGCATTTAAAAAAAACCATAAACAGGAAGGACAATATGGGACTGGAACCTGAGGAAAGAAAAAGCACCTTATAAATTTTGCCAGACTACATCATATAATAGTTGTCATGGATGGAGAGTATATTTGACAATAACCATATTAGTATTAGTTGCAATCTTTAAATTTTAATAGGAAGAATGGACCAATGTTCATAACTGAAGTTTTATATCGTAATCTGACTCTTTCCAAATCTCCATAAAATAGACAATAGTGATTTGCATTAGATTTTAAATTATTGGCAAAAGGTTCTGAATTGTAGATGGAAACAACTCTATTCAGATTTAGGTTTAGGAGATAGGTTCTCCTACTTGAGCAAGGGGCTGGACTAGAAGACCTCCAAGGTCCCTTCCAGCTCTATTCTATTCTATTCTATTCTATTCTATTCTATTCTATTCTATTCTATTCTATTCTATTCTATTCATTTCAGTCCTCGTGTTAAATCAGAAATCAGATGATCTTTTCTGATACTGTTTGATGAAATAGATAAAAAGTAAAGTCATCCTCATGTTGAGCTTGATTCCGGATGACTACACAGACAGGTCTTTCTTGTTTATTTGGTAGCAATATGGAAATGGTTTCCAGGATGTTTTTCAACCTTCCAGTCTTCTCTACAGCTCCAATATTCCCTGGTGGTCTCCCATCCAAGTACCAATCAAAGAACCAGAACAGAAATGGAGGAAAAAGCATGACTGAATTGACTACAGATCATGAATAATGAAAGGAGATGATGGCCAGGCAGCCTTTTAAACAGTCTTGACAAAGATAAGGAAACAAATGAAAGATAAAGAAAGATGGAATGAAAGACCACTTTAGGTTCCAGGACCATCGAACTGGAATACTGTATAGCACATTCACCAGAGAAACAGTGTGGATCAATGGTTAGAATAAGATGGAACATGTATATTAACTAAATCAAAAGGTATAATCCAGGGTTCAACTAATGAATATCCAGTGCCTCTTTCTTTTGTGTTTTTTTTTACTTTTCAGTCTGAGTTGACTGATTGAATCATTTTGGTGAATTACAGAAATTACTACTTAATTCCTCTAGTGATTTATTAAGCCTGCTATGAAATAGATGGATCAAGTGGGATTAGGTTCAAGTGCTACAATATAAAATATACTCACCTGGGATTCAAACTAGACAATGGTGCTGTTTTCTAGCACAACCCTTTCCATTTCTATTCTCCCTGCTTTCTGCCTATCCACTCAGTCAAGAAACTGATTTTCCTCCACCTTTTATTTATTCTGCAAAACAGTGTTTTGTCATGTCTGTTGATTGTTTAGCCTTGAGCATAAATGTTACATTAAAAAAGAACATCAGCACTGTGTGAATGAAATCACTATTATTATATAGATGCTGAAAAAAAGATTATTTTCATTTATTCACTTACTGATTTGCACACTTGTAGACTTGTAGAATCTTAGCAGGTGAGAAGATTTTGCCAGAGCAAAACTATGCTCTTCTTTCTTGTGACTTAGGCTGTCTTGACTTAGGCTGTCTTTGTTCACTAGCTATATCTCTGAGCCAATGTAAGTAATCAAGGACTCAATACTATTTACTGTTGAGGTCAGAAACCAACCTTTCATAATCTGGGGATTAATTTGAGGCTTTTGAAAATAAGTCAGCAATCTCATTTTCTCCCAGATATTTTGCATTTTGAGATTGTGAAAACATTTTCCCACTGAAACATACCGGTACATTAAATAATGGAAACAGATCTAAAGAATCCAGCAACACATTCCCATGCTGTACACTTTCTGGAATTTTCTGGAATGTGAAATTTTTAAAAACACAGCCTTGAATTGACCCTAAGAAACTATGCAAAGCTCATTTAAAAATATAAATATTTTGTCTATGGAATGCTCCACCAGATCACATAATCCAATTTAGTTATATAAAATTGGGGAATTTTTGTTACCATGAATAGGGTCCAAAGTGTTCACAAATTCTTCTCCAAAATTGGGGTGAAGTTGGGTCAGAGTAGGCTGGATCATGTCAGCATTACCCTGGTGAGCTGAAGACATAAAATAAGGAGTGATATAATTCACTATTCATTTTATTTATTAAATTTATATCACCACCCAACTCACACCATGGTGACGCTGGGTAGCTTACAGCATTAAAAATCCACAATGTAAAACTCTTAAAATGCCACCTTCTCCGCCATACCGACTACCAATGCAATTACTCTAGCCCAGTGATGGTGAACCTTTTAGACACCGAGTGCCCAAACTGTGCACACACATGCATGGACATGCACCCACATATGCACAGACATGCACGCATGCTCAGCAGAGACCCGAAGACCAGCTGGCCGGCGGGAGGCAGGGTATCTCAACACCGGCAGCATGGCAAGAGGTAAGATCTTTTTCTTTTGTGAGCTTCTGTTTCGTCGTTTGCAGGGAAACAGAAGCTCACAAAAGAAACGCCACAGAGATCTGATCTGGGGCAACGGTGCGCATGCCAGCAGAGAAGGCTCTGCGTGCCACCTCTGGCACACATGCCATAAGTTCACCATCATGGCTCTAGCCGCTTGACAATAAAAAGCAAATTGGCAACCAATGCAGATCCTACAAAGGATATGATGCATGAATGAATCTAGGCTTGTGTAAAACTGTATGAGCTGCTACATTTTGAACCAAATGAAGCTTCTGGATACTTTTCAAGAGCAGCTTGAAAGTCCAAACAGGGCTTGGATGACTCTGAGAAAGGCATGTTGGTCCCAGAATGGGTGTAACTGGTGCACAACAAGGAGCAGGCCCTCCTGGCCACGACTGCCACCTCCTCCTTAAGCAGGGGTCGTAAATCCAGGAGAACTCCAGATTATGCACCAGGTCTGTTTGGGGCAGTGCCAACTCCATCCTTGACCACAGATAATTCTCCCAAACCCAAGGAGACCCAAACCCATACCATCTTGCCAAGGTTCAATTTTGGCCTGTTGCCTCAATAGCCTCCATGGACCAGGAAAAGGCAGTTGCAGCATTGCTTACTTAACTCAACAGAGATGTATAACTGAGTATTATCATCACATTGATGATATATTTCCCCATGGTGAGGGATGGTCTTCCTCAATAGTTTTATGTAGATGTTAAACAGGAGCAGATGGACTACTCCATCTGCTCTCGCCAGATAACCGATCACATTTGTGTCCCATATCTGGGGCTGAATCTTTATTGAAGAGGTTCCAGATACTGTCTCATTCTGGATCCTCCGGAGATGCCACTTGATCACCTTCTCAACAACTTTCCCCCAAAAGGGAAGGCTGGAGATAGGACAAAAATTCATAGCTAAATTTACAGCTTTCATAGCTAAATAGCATGTGTCATACACAGTCTTTACAAGTCAGCAACTAACTCCTATATGGAAGCCCTTGGAAAGCTGTCTGCACTTGGGCATAAGGAAGAAGTTTCACTACAAAACTATTGTGTAGTGGGCATAAAGTGACTTCTCACCAAGACCACGTAAATTGGGACCACCATAAGGGTTGCGGCTGGAGACCATGGTATCCAGAAGTGCATCCAGATCATGTAAGGGATCAAGCTCCATTGGACCTCCACTTGCTGTTTCAATGTTGAGTTCTACCTCTGAAATTCCATCAGACACCTCCTGCACAAAATAGGGTGGGGGGGAAACCCATATATTCCAGCAAAGGAATGGGGAAGTGAGAGCCTGGAATGCTCACTGGGTGTTATTCTAAGTATTCCAGCTTTAGAACTCTGCCACAGGGGGAAGGAAATAGGGAAAGGGAACGTTTGAATATTAAAATAGTACCTGACTAGGATCACAGATCGGTTTGTCAAACTTCTTCTGCTCCTAAAACAAAAAGACAGGTTGGTTTGAATTATAATACATTTCTGAGAGAATCATTAGCAAAGGAAATTTTAATCTATTCAATTAACAAAACCACAAAGCAGTAGAGAACCCTTATAAGCAACTGTAAATATTAATAAATGATTAGTGGCAAAAAGTCAAAATTATGAATTAACTACGGGTGGAGAAAAGGTCTTTGGTCTGAGGTACCTGATAGACAAAAGGGCCCTTCTCTGAGGAAGATGGATAGCTTAGAAATATGAAATATAAATAAAAATAAAAAGGATAATCATCTGGTAAATCTAATACTAGGTCCCATGATTGGGAACCACAATAATAAAATTTCTCAGTTATAAAAGACTACAAAAATGCTAGCCAAACAGAGGTACTTGCATACAGCCCTTTTTATCTTCATCATGTTTTAAATCTTGTACATGCAGGCTGAATATGTACAGAGGGTTAAATTGTTTTAGGATAGAATTAGACTCTTGGCTACCATTGCAACAACACAGAGGACAACAAGATAAAGAATATCATCTGGCGATGGAAAAACGCAATATAGTGCTATATTCCAGCTATTTTATCACACTGATATCATATGTTATCCAAAAAGCTTTACTTGTTTGAGAAGAAACTTACCCGAATATGGAAGAATGTCCTCCATTTATGATATTCCCTAATAACAACCCCAACCTGGCGTTTCCAATATTTTCCTTCCATAATGACAGCCTAACAAATAAATAAAGATACAGAAGTTAAATAAAGGCAAAGATATAGAATCTGGTATTTATGGAAGAGATGTTGGAATGTAGGGTCTTTGGTGATCTCTGAGCTTGGTGGTTTTCTTGCAGATGTCTCATTACCAAACTAGGTAACATCATCATTGCACTCAGAGAGCATCACACTCTGGTAACTCTTTGTGCCACAAAATCCTTGCTCACCTCAGGTTTGCGATGCTGCTCTATGTCACTACATTCTAGGGGAGTCACAAAACTGCACACAGGATTCTGCCTCTTCTCCACATCTGCATCCAAAATGAAACAAACAGAACTCTAAATGCCATTGCCACTTTCAGAGACAGACAAATGTACTTTTTTACTGACTGAAAGTTCCCCCAAATTGTACATTTACAAACCAAAGAGAACAGACTATGTGATGTTCAGAAGTACATGCTATTGCTTGCAGCTCATTATAATGCACAGAAAATAGTCCTTGGCTACAGAATTCATCAAGAACATGGACTCCTTATGGAAAGGAAGTGCCTTGGGAATAAACTTCTGAATTTACCCTGTTCCAGTACTTACACTGTAGATACCATGCCCTCCAAATAGCATTATTGAGTCGAATCTTGTCACGCTGCTGCAATTTCAGCCCCTTGAAGGTTTTCCATTTGGGAGATACAATTTTCCCACTAAAAATAAAAAAGAATCCAAAGAAACTTCTGTAATATCTGGTATATCTGGATTAAGGAATCAGTAAGTCAAGCCAAAAATCATTAAGAAAGCAAAATGAATAGGAATACTACCTCAAAGACTTGACAATATAGATACAAATATTCTTACACTGTCCCAATAAAAGAAGAAAATAGGTGAATTCAAAATAGAGTAATAAAATGCATGCAATTATTTATCTTTTTGAAAGACTGAGTAATGTGCAAGGTTTCTTTGAAAGTTAGTATCTCATCTCGTTTGCCTTCCCCATTGGATTTTATGGCAAACTGAAGGAGATGAATGAACAGGCACACAACAGCAGATTAACTGATGCAGAAAACATCTGGAGACTATTATAAGTAATACGCTGGTCTCAAGATCGACTTTGTGACTACTGAATTAGAATGATTTGTGATGTGTCATCAGTGTTTTCAAATGAAAAAAAAAAGTATTTCCAATAGAAAAAATTCTTAAAGAATAATACGTTGAAAACTTTTCAGCAGTTGGATACTGTAGACTACATTCTGTTTAATCTAATACAATTATGCCATCCAAAAGAATTACTGTTGGAAGGTAATTACAAGTCAATTTTCCCTCAAGAACTGAAAATTTAGCCAGTGGTCTGAATACCATTGACACCACTGACGTATCACGAGCAACAAGACTTGATAGCCTATCTTTCTGAAAGTCATGGGAAGGAACATAAACAACATGGAGATTCATGTAGCCAATGCAACATAGCCTGACCAAAACCACTTCAAGTCTGGCAACTGATTTACTGAGTAATTGTTCCGAAAGCAAAGGACAGATTGCTGTCTTGAGCATTTCCAAATTGAGTTTATGGATGGTTCTTGCCAAAAGTCTTCTAAAATTGGTAATCAAAAGATATGTGATAATAACAGAAATGTATTTTTGTTTTTCAACATTTTTTGGTAACAAGTATGAAATGTCAGAGAGACGGGAGATTTAAAAGTGGAAGAGGCTACTGCCTCTCCTTTCCCTATAAAACATTATGAAAGGGATAAAAATGAATGCACAATAGAGGCCTTGTGCTGAAGCATTCAGAATTCCCTTTTCTCCTTTGTTCCCCAACAGCTCTTTGAACCAAGTCTACTCTAAGAATGGAGAACTCTGGTCTAAGGCTCAGCTGGCAGATTAATCATGAATAGCTTTCTAATAAATAATACTCTGTTACTACCTGTAACTGTTATAACAGTTACAGGTAGTCTTTGACTTAACCACAGTTCATTTAGTGACATTTCAAATTACAACGGCACTGAAAACAGTGATTTATGACCATTTTTCACATTTATGACCATTGCAACATCCCCATGATCACGTGATTTACATTCGGATGTTTGACAACTGGTTCACTTTTATGACGGTTGCAGTGTCCCAGAGTCATGTGATTACCTTTTGCAACCTTCTGACAAGCAAAATCAATGGGAAAGCAAGATTCACGTAACAACCATGTTACTAACTTAACAACTGCAGTGGTTCATTTAACAAATGTGTAAGAAAAGGCGATCTCATGATCCTGGGAAATCGCAAAGGTCAATAAATATGAATAGAACAGAATAACTTTGTCACCTCGAATGTACAGCAATCGGCATAACATTAAAAATGAAATTTTGTGGCCTACAGCTCTCAAAGTTGAACCAGTTGCCACACATCGAAATGTTCGGCACATGACCATAGGGATGCTTGCAAAGGTTTGTAACTGTGAAAATTGGTCCCAAGTCACTTTTTTCCCCACTGCCGTTGTAACTTTGAATGGTCACTAAATGAGCTGTTGTAAGTCAAGGACCACCTGTACAACGTCAAAGGAAGACTGATTGCTGGAAGCTCTGGAGCAGGGGCAGTGGGGAAATCCAATTTTTTTTACTACCAGTTCTGCGGGTTTGCCTTGGTGGGCATGGTGTGGCTTGGTGGGCGTGGCAGGGGAAGGATACTGCAAAATCCCCATTCCCACCCCACTCCAGGGGAAGGATATTGCAAAATCTCCATTCCCACCCCACTCTGGGGCCAGCCAGAGGTGGTATTTGCCGGTTCTCTGAACTGCTCAAAATTTCCGCTACCGGTTGTCCAGAACCTGTCAGAACCTGCTGGATTTCACCCCTGAGCAGGGGTCTTCAAACTTGGCGGCTTTAAGACTTGTGGACTTCAACTCCCAGAATTCTCCAGCCAGCATAGCTGGCTGGAGACTTCTGGGAGTTGAAGTCCACAAGTCTTAAAGCCGCCAAGTTTGGTGACTCCTGCTCTCGAGCCATCCTCATTGGTTGGCCCGGTCTTCTTGGCCCTTCTCCCTCCTGCGGGTCTTTTATGCGCCAAGAAGCACCAAGCGGGGCCCGCCTCCCTTCGTCCTTTCCTCGCCATCCGGGCGACTTCCTCACCTGTAGGCCAGGGTCATGCATTCGAAGAGCTTCGTGAGGGAGGCGTCGATATTGAGCGCGCCGCTGCTGCGCGGCCCGTAGCGGTAGATCTGACAGGTGCCTTGGTTCACCGTGTCGAAGTCGTAAGGAGCCCCGAAACCCGGCCGGGCCGCACTTTCAGCCTTCCCAGCCGCAGCTTTCCCTAACGCTCCGGCCCCTCTGACTCGCTCGGTCGCGCAGCTTTGCAGGCCTAAACGAACGGCTCGCTCGGCCGAGCTTATGGCCTCTTCGGAACCGAGATCCGGATCGGGGTCCGACTCGGCGTGGGGTTCCGAGACCATGAAGTGGCCACTGTGGATGATTTGGGAACGGGACATCGCTGCTGCTCCGGCTGTCCGTCTCCGTCTCCACTGAGAACATCGCTAGCAAGGCCAAAATAACGGTGCTACCGTCACCATGACAACAAAGGATCTCTCTCTCTCTCTCTCTCTTCCCCCCCCCCCGAACTGGAACCTGTAATTTCGGCTGCCAGGACGCGGGGGAAGGAAAGGAGAGGGGGACCCTACCGGAGGATCGCCCGAAGTCCGGCCCTACCGCAGGCTCCCATAGCAACAAGGAAAAGGCGTTCTGCGCATGTATCCCTCCTCCGTCGCAGAGCATGACGGTTGTTGTAGTTGTTTCAACTTTCCTCCAGAGGGCGTTACCTCGCGGCACGAACGCGAGGTATTCGCGAGGGGGATCAAGCGCTAACTTTAAATTTTTAAAACCCTGATTAAACTTGTTATGCCTCGATTATCAAAATCTCTCCGCATTTGGATAATTGGATTTTTAAAAAATGCATTTATTAATAGAGCCTTGGTAGAACAGTGGTTTAATGCACCGTGTTATTAACACAGGTGCCTGCAATTTCTGCAGGTTCGAATCTCACCAGGCTCAAGGTTGACTCAGCCTTCCATCCTTTCTAAGGTAGGTGAAATGAGGACCCAGTTTGTGGGGGCAATAAGCTGACTTTGTATAAATATACAAAAGAATGAAGGCTATTGCTTAACGCATTGTAAGCCGCCCTGAGTCTCCGGAGAAGGGCGGCATATAAATCAAAAAAAAAAAAAAAAAAGTGGATTTAATAATGCAACACTCGTACCCAAAATGAATAAAACACAGAAAACCGGCTGGATAACTTTGACCCAGTCAGTTTCAACCCAATCCACCTCACAGGGCTGTTGTAGGGGAAATAGGTGTATTAAATATGTTAGCTGCCTAAATTCACACATAAACACACACACAATAACTGACTACTGCATCTAGGCAAACAGTGGGATAATCGAAATAGCCTTAATATTTCATCAGGTCAATCATTGGAATTGAAAATTGCCTCTATCCCACTGTAATATGACTGGCAAATTACACCATTAACCACAGGCTGTTAAATGCAAACCCTTTCCCTAAGGGTTTCCAATGATGTGACTATGGAATATATCAACTGATGCTTCTTTTTGCCTCAGAATAAATGCCCTGCCACCATGCCTCCCCTGCTTTCTGTGGGCAGCTAATGTTTTTACTTGGGAGAGTTTTGCTTCTGACTTCTACCAGGAAGTTCCCACTCCAGCAATCAAGTAGATTATTGTACAAATATGTCTGTACTTATCAGTAAGCGTAAGGGCACAACCCAACAATGAACCCAGGACTACAGATTCCAAAGAAAATTGCAACCATGGAACACAGGTATTAACATATTTACTTTTTTTCCTCCACAGATGTTTTATGTTCATGTTCATTATGGATACAATGAAACCAGTTCTCCTTGAACTCCTCACAACTGATAATGAGGTAAATGGTATTAACAGGTCCAGTTATTGTTAACTGATCACATAATGAACCAAATCTGGACAGCTTTGCTTCGTTAATAAACCTGGGCAAGCTTAATCTCATAAACTGCTGTGAAGAACCTATTAGTTGCTTCACAGTATGTTAATTGTGGGTTGCTTTTGTTGCTGTTTGTCCCATGGGTTGTGTTTCTACTTACAGGCTGAATTTTTGCAACATGCCCACCCATGGTGGTTTTAATCATGTGTTCTTGAACAAAGCATAGTTGTGGAATTGGAGGTCACATAGCAAGTGAAGCCAAACCAGACAAAGTGTGGTCTAGCATAGAGTATGAATCCAGTCCCAGCAGGAAAAAAAATGAGAGCAACCCAGTTTTTGTCAATTCGCAGAGTCTTGGGAGTGGAAAGCATTACGTTGAGGCAGTGGTGAAATCCAAATTTTTTTACTACCAGTTCTGTGGGCGTGATGTTGCTTGGTGGGTGTGGCTTGGTAGGCGTGGCAAGGGAAGGGTACTGCAAATCTCCTTTCCCACTCCTGGGGGAAGGATATTGCAAAATCTCCATTCCCACCCCACTCTGGGGCCAGCCAGAGGTGGTATTTGCCGGTTCGCCGAACTACTCAAAATTTCCGCTACCAGTTCTCCAGAACCTGTCAGAACCCGCTGGATTTCACCCCTGCCTTGAGGAAGAAAAGCTATTCTCTTTCCCTGTTACTTTGGTTAGGATTAGTAAACAGATGTATGCTTCAAAAGAAGACATAAAACCTGAGATTACCAAGTGGAAAATGAATGAACTTTATTTTCAGGCTGTGTGAAGCTGGCAATGGCACAATAACTGTAGGTACACAAAAATAAAATGAGTAGTTCATTCCCCACTTGGATCACAGTGAGAGGATTCAATCTTAAACCTTCTCTGTAAAACAACCTTTGGCCCATTTGGAGGCCTCACGTCTGACTACAATTTTCACTATTGTGCTGGGTAAGGATGACCAGAATTCTGTTCCCTGGATCTGGCAAATATCAGACTGGGGCAGAACAGAATATGAAGGCAGTCAAAGCAAATTAAAGGACAAACAGCCCTGCCATATGAAACTTAAAACCGTGACATCTTCAGGGCCCTTAGGTCAGTAACACATAAATGGACTAAACCCAAAAGCAACACTGGTGTTTTCCACACCCATGCTGCCATTTCCCATAGAAAGGAGAAAAATGCACTTGGAAAGCAGTTGTGGTCTCTTTTAGGAGTAGAGAAGTTCTCTCCTCCTAGGCAGTGTACAGAAAATGTATTTCCAAATATCACAAATGTGTCTTCAGTCTTGGGATTCCATGAAATCTTTTGCTTGCTGACAGTAGAAAGGGGGAAAGGCAGAGAAAAGGTCTTCAGACTGAACTGGGGTCCATGTCAACACTGGCCTGGCGCACAACCCGTCGAGACCTGGAACATGGCAAGGAAGATGGCAATTGGTGCTTCTTGGAAATTTCAGGATTCATCTGTCCCTCAAATTCCTTGGTCCGACTCACCACCAGGGCAGCATCAGCCAGCTGAGCCACTGAGAGGCGATGCTGCAAAGGGGCCCTGCGCCCACACGAGCCAGACCCTTCCATGTGCCGAACAGCTTTATGCACCTTGCCTGGTGCCGGGTGGTATGAGAGCTGTTTGCAAGGCTGAGCATGGACTCTGGAACCTTTGCTCCGTCCCCTACGCCCTGGCCTCCGTCCATATGCCTGCTGGTCTCCTGGAAGAGACAATTTTGCTGTAACTGGCTTTTCATTTTCTTCACTTTGGGATGATAGTTCACAGGTCTTCCTTTCAGCATGAAGAAATACCTGCTGAGAGAGGAAGAACTCATTGAGTTGCACATCACCAACTACATTGGATTCTCTTTGATTTACCTTGGCTTTACTTTGGCCATGTCATGCATGCACATTCATTGGAGAAGTCAATGCTAGGAATGGTTAGTGGATCAAGAAGAAGGGGCAAGCCAGAAACATACTGGTGTGACCCCATCAAAGCTGATACAAAGATGAACATCCAACAACTGAAAGAAGCTATCCATGACAGGAGAGCACTTGCCTATAGTTGTCAAGAGTTGGACATGATTAAATGGTTAAAACCAGCAGTCCACCACCTTTGTGGCTTGGTGGCCTGGCTGGGGGGAGGGGGGAGAAGGGAACTGGGCAACGTGGTGCACATGCAGCCCTTGCATGAGTAGCAGGCCGGTGTGCATGTGCAAGTGCCTGCCAGCCCGCTGCTCACACAAGTTGAGCTGCGTGCGCATCTGTGCTCCAGCAACCACTCACATGGCCCAATTCCGAATAGGCCACGGCCCAGTAGTAGGGTATGGCCTGGGGGGTTGGGCACCCTTGGTTAAAACTAGTACTTCCTCCGTCACTTTAGTTTCCATATTCCACTGCTCTTGGTTAATATTTCTATGCAACTGGCTTGGAACACCTTCGTTTTAGAAACAAAACATTGGGCAGCTACTGCTAAGGCTTGTATGCTTTTATTCTCTCTTAGAAGCATCTAGTTGAATAATTTTACATTAAACTTTTTTAGGTCTGGCTGCTCCATCTCCATTCATTTTACTTTCTCTGACCTGACTTATTAGACTAATACAACTCTCCGTCCCAGAAATGTCACCTATCTTCATTTATGTAATAATTTGGGACTTTTGGGAATCTGGTACAGCAAATCATCATGCACAACCCTTAGTAAGAGAGAGGGTCTTAGAGCCTTCTAGGGTACAATCAATCAAATTCATTATTCAGATTCTAGTTCTAGTTCTGACAGTCCAATCTGTAGCAGAACCTAGGTCCTTCATTTCAGATTTTGGAAGATGAATTTAATTTTAACTCTTGATAAGGTGCTTGCTCAGGTGAGGTCATGTTCATGTTTGCTTTGTTAAAATTGTGTCTCACATTTTACTAGTTTTAATACAAGAGATTACATATTCTTTTTTTAGGAGGAGACTATAGGGTTACTACTCTTGAAAAAAAAACAGACCCAGAAGATCTGTATTTCAATATCAGTACCAACATTACAGGTAGTCCTTGGTTAATGATAGTAATTAGGAATGGAAACTCAGTTATTTTGCAACATTGTCTTAAAGTGCGACATCATGTAACCATGCTGACTTACGACAGCTATTCCGGAAATTCCAGCTGCCATAGTTAGGCAAATCTTCCACGATTGTTAGGCACAATGTCATGGGATTGCCATTTGAAATCTCCAGCCAGCTTCCCTATTAACTTTTGTTTGTTGGAAGCTGGCAGTGAAGGGCGCAAATGGCAATCACAGGCCTCTAGGGATGCTGTGATGGCCACAGCTTTGACGATCAGCTGTAAATCAGCGTTGTAACTTAGAATGGTTGCTGAACAAATGGTCATTAACTAAAGAACATAATCTTAATAGTATGCTTTTATTTATGGGTTTACCCTGCTATTTTTTGATATAATTGTATTTCTAATTGTAAACCACTTCAATATTTCTTTAATTGGAAACCATTACGTTTTAAATAAATAAATATCCGATGTCAGTTTTACTCCCTTCTTGTATTCTAGATTGTAAACAGTCTCTCTTTTCTGCTCCCCATTCACTCCTGCTCAGTTACCTTTACATGATTCCATACCTCTTCCTCAGGTGTGCCCTCCGTCACAGAGATGTGTTCTGGGCTATCCATCTCACTGATGCTGCGCATAATTGCATAGAGATTAATGCGTTCCCGTCGGAGTACGGGTGGCTTCTCAGGTACTTTCATGGTAGCCAGGTGTCTCCGCACCTCCTCAGCTCCTGAATCAT